TACCGTCTTCATTTCTGCCACTAGACCTATGCCCCTGACTGCCTGGGATTAACAGAGGCTTTTACAACTCTGCTTACCCTCTTTTTCTTGATTCTAGGGCTGGGACCAGCCAAGCCCATTATTCTGGGTCCTAATCTGTTTGGTGGAGTTGTTACTCCACTTCTCTGACCTTGCACATAGGGCCTGGGCACTCCTGGGAATTAGGGGCAGGGTGGGGTTAGGGCTGAAACCCATTTGCTCAGACACTCCTATTTTATGTTCTATTAACTTTATTCCTCAGGGGAATACTTCCCTTTGCAGTCCTTTGTAGTTCACCCTTGGGTTCATATACAAGATCTCACAATTATCAGTGGAAACATACCCTGAAATCTTCAGTTTAGAGGCGGTCACTTTCAGGACCACAGAAGTCTGCCTGGTGGCTGCTTGCCTCCAGAAGGCAGAGCAGGAGTGACTGCCACATTGTCATGGCGGGAGCGCGTGAGGGCTAGTGTCTGTGAAGTGGGGGAAGAGTGGGGTCCTGTGGAATATGAGCAGGGCAGGAAGCCCCAGCCTGAACCTGTGCTGTGTTTGGGCCAAATATTGTCGTCCCCCCGCCCCCGCCCACGAAAAAAACTCCTGCGCTCCCAGAAGGTGCTAGTATTGAGATTAGTGTCATGCGGGGCCGTTGAGTGTGACTTCCAGCCCTCCAGCATCTCGTGTCCCACTCGTGTCGGAGCCCACGGCTTTTCAGGACAGGAAGCGCTGCGGGGTAGTGCGGGCAGGCAGGCACGTCACACCGGACAGCGACCAGATTGCTGCTTTCGGTTCCCCGGCGGGCGGTGAGGCAGAGAGCGCAGGGCGGAAAGGGGAGCCCCAGCACTTCAGAGCTGTCGGGCCGTGGCCAGGAAGCAAAGCACCGGAGCGCTGCGGTGCCAGCGGCCGGACTAGGGATGACCGGCAGGTTTGCGCTGGACCCAACCCCGAGGGCGGTCAGGCGCAAGGGGGCGGGCGCTGCCGTACTCCGGCCGCGGGGTCAGGGCGGGCCGGCCGGCGGGGCATTTAAACCCCGCTGACAGCCAGTCCCGCCCGGGACACGCGCCCAGCTCCGTAGCCTCCTCCGTCGACTCAGCCTTGGGTACCGGTCGGGCAAAATGCGGTCCTCTCTGGCTCCGGGAGTCTGGTTCTTCCGCGCCTTCTCCAGGGACAGCTGGTGAGCGGGGCAGGGGAGGGAGGCGCACCAGGACCTCCCGGGCTCGGGGCTTGCGGGGGGCCGCGAGGGGCCTCGGAGATCACCCCCAGATCGGCCCTGGCGTCGCCGCTTGGCCAGGGGTGCTGGCGGGACTTGGTCGCGGGCTCCTCCAGCGGTGCCCACCTCGGAGGTTGGTAACCCTCCCTGCCTAACTCCGCCCGCCCTCCCCCAGACCCCGCGACGCTGACTCTGTGACACTGGTGAAGAACAGGCTGCCGGGGAGGGTCTCCAGCGTTTCCCGTTTCCATCCTCCCCTCCTAACACACACCCAGGGCGCTTTCAGAGCGCCTTTCTGTAGTTGAGCAGCTGGGGAACCTGGGCTCGCAGGCTGGGGAACCGAGACCAGGGGATGGTAGAGGAAAGGGGTGGCCCCTGGGGTTTGTGAGTGTCCCTCTTGGTCTCCTTTAGCCTTCGAACGCCAAGGCCAGAACTCAGTGGTCCTGGGAGCTCGTCTCGAGGCCTTTCAGCGCCTGGAAAGGGCACAGCTCTCAGAGCAGAGCAGGGCAGCCCCTCAGCAATGGGCGAGGGGCTTCACAGTGATTCTCTTCCTGACCGCAGGGACCACATGTTGGGCTGCAAGGTGGGGTGGAGGGGTTTCAGCCACTCTTTCTTAGAGGCAGTCAGCCACTGGAGCAGTCCGTTTGATCTGCACAGTTTTTAAAATACTGTGTTAGTTACCATTATTTACAAATAAAATTTAACAAAAATAGCTAGATTCCAGACTTCTCTTGAAAAACAGACGATGTGGACCGGGCATGGTGGCTCATCTTTGTAATCCCACCACTTTGGGAGGCCAAGATGGGAGAATTGAAGGAGGCCAGGAGTTTGAGACCAGCCTGGCCAACATCGCCAGACCACCACCACCCCCCCACCCCGGTTCCCCCCTCACACCCCTCCCTGTCTCTATAAGTAAAAAAAGGAAAGAAAAGAAAAATGGATGATGTGGTAATACCGGGCCTAAATTTCCAAATTAAATGAACAGGATTGAGGAGTCCCCTTTAGATACGGCAGATGCTATTAAAATGGCCAATTTGTCCTGGTTTTGAAACAGTCTTTTGTCGGCAACCCTCTCAATCCTGGGCGAAACGAGACAATTGGCTACCCTACACATTTTTTAATTGTTGAGAGCTCTCATCAATTCTAGCCTTCTTCACTAATTTAGATTATCTACCTAGTGTTTTTTGAGTTGGAGACTGTTAAAAGTTATTTTTCAGAAAAAGGTTAAAATTCTGACTCTCACAAAGACATAAAAATGAACCCATGTTAAAGATTTCGGTTCAAAAGAGAATTTAGAGAGGGGGATTGGGGAATTATTGTTTAATGGGTATGGAGTTTCAGTTTGGGAACATGATCAAGTTCAGGAAATGGATGATGGTAATGGTTGAGAGACAATGTGAACATACTTAATGCCACCTAAATGTAGACTGAAAATGGTTAGAATGGCAAAATTTACATTATGTATATTTTACAATTTCAAAAAGAGAATCTAAAGAATATATTCATATATAGGTTAGGAATATTGAGACCAAACTGGTCTTCTACAGGTTGTGAGGGAAGACTACTGAAATAATCTTCACAGGTATATTTTGTGTGACTTCTCAGTTACCTACCACTTCAAAGAATTTTATAATAGCTCAAGGTCAATTAAAAGCTGGAATCTGATAACCTGGAGGACTATCCGCTAGACAAGGCATAGTTTTCCACGGACATACATTGTTTTTCTACAGTCTCTCCTGTTTTGATTTTTTTTAAATTTCCTAGAAAGAGTGTTCTTGATCACAAAATAAAGCTGGTCTCATTGAATTTGACTTGATTATGTACATAGGTACTACAAGTGTGTTTTACCCTATAGCCCTTGTTAAGTTAATAAACTTGACTGAAAGTTTTCATAAGGAATCCTAGATTCGATTTTTTAAAGCCTTTAATTATTTATTGTCCTGACGTTAGAAGCCGAGTCGAGAAACTGTCTCCACCGGGTTTTAGCTACTGTACTGATATACTTGGGCAAATTCCTCTTCTCAGGGTCCCCAAAATATCCTAAAGTTTCTGGGCTAGTCAGGGAGTGACCTTCCTTTTGGCTTGTAAACCTGGAAACCCAGTAAGCCCGTTTTCTTGGGAGGGTTTTCTTAGTATTGGCTCCATAGAGTGAACCTCAGTTTTTAAAGGAAGCTGGTTGTGTCTGATTAAATAGACATCCTGATCAAATACAACATCCAGGCAAGGTCTTGGTTGAATAACCGATTTTTCTAATTATGTACTGGTTTAAAATAAAAAAAAAAAATCTTACTCAACCCGTGCAAATAACCATATTGCCATGAAAAGCAAGAAGATTCCATGAGAGTTTCTGAATTCTGAGGAGTCAGGTAGGGAGAAGAATATATTTATAAGTGTTTCATTTCAGTTTATGAAAGCAGAATCTACTAAGTTGTTATGGGTTAATATAGCCTAAGAAGAAAGAGAAAGGTCTTCCTTATATGTCCAGAAGATAGAACACTATAACAACATCAACAATATTCTGAACCTAGAAGACAGTCATCCATCACCAGTTCATGCGGTCCAGTGTGATTAATTCTGTTCCGCTGAATCTTGGGTTAGCAATCTCAAAAACGTATCTGCTCCTTGACTAAAGAGTTCTGGAACTCCTGACTCAGTCCACTAGTACGTTCTTAATGTTGTCTAAGTGGTGCCATCAGAAGCCTATGCCCGAGAGCAATTACTCAGTACAGTGCTCTTCTGAGACAGTTCTCGGTTGTTAAAAATAAAAACTCTGGCCTGCCAGGCCCAGTGGCATGCTTACAGTCCCAGCTACTCCTGAGGCTGAGGTGGGAGGGTCCCTTGAGCCCAATAGTGTGGGACTGTAGTGCACCATGATCATGCCTGTGAATAGCCAGTGCACTCCAGTCTGGGCAACACAACAAGATCCCATCTCTTAAAAAACAAAAAACAAAAACTCCCCCTCTATTCTATGACTGAATACAGAGCCCTTAAGAAGCATCAGAGTAAAATAAAAACTATCTGTAGGTGACAGAGACTTAAAAAGTGTTGATTAACTTATTACTGATAATTTTCAAGAATGAATGATCTGATAAGAATTCATGACAAGAATAATGCAACTGACAAGGAAATGTGGTTGCTTCTGTGGTATGCAAAACAAAAAGATGCTAATCCAAACAACAAAAAAATCTAGACAATGTCTAAAAATATAAGGCTAATTTCAAAAAACACAATGAACATGATATTAATTTATAAAAATGAACATGACTTTTACAGAGAAAAAATCTTATAATAGATAAAATTTCTGAGATATAATTTACATAAAATGCCAAGAATATCGACTGAAGATACTCAGTGAGCTTGAGGTAAGTCCTAAACATCTGTATTTTAATAAAACTGCATAGGAAAGGCTGATGTACAACTCCAGTTGAAAACCAGTGGCCTGGAAGATGCTAGATTTAAATTAAAGAAGGAAAGTTGCAGCCCAGTAACTTATTTTATTATTTTATTTTATTTTATTTTTTCGAGACAGAGTCTTGCCCTGTCACCCAGATTGTAGTACAGTGGCACAATCATAGCTCGCTGCAGCCTCAAACTCCTGGGCTCAAGGGATCCTCTTGCCTCAGCCTCTAAGTAGCTGGGACTACAGGCGTGCACCACCACACCCAGCTAAGTTTTTTATTTTTGTAGAGACAGGGTCTGGCTATGTCACCCAGGCTGGTCTCAAACTCCTGGCCTAAAGCCATCCTCCTACCTTATCTTCCCACCTCATCCTCCCAAAGTGCCAGGATTGCAGGTGTGAGCCACTGTGCCCAGCCTCCAGTAACATTTTAAATAATAATTGAAATCGTGACTAGTAACACATATATACTGTTGTCATCAGGGAAGGCACCATCAGGGTGCTGATAAATAGAAACATGTCATGTACAGAGAGGGCATTGAGAAATCTGCACAACTCTCATATAGCATATAATTTCTCAAATATTTAGATAAATAATAATATTTTACCAATATAGATTTAACCTAGAGAAGGCTGAGCATCTCTTCTGACTTGACAATTATTTCTAAGCAATTGATCGATATTAACATATTAAACAAATCTAATTATTTCTAGCACCTCTCTTTTTAAAAGATGAAAGAACAAATCTTTGTGGTTTTCCAGGAGCCCTCCCTCTTTTTAAATTAAATATTCAAACTCATCAAGATTTTGCCAACTTTGGCAAAATTTTAATACATTTAATTGCTTATTTTCAGACTTATTGTTTGCATGTAATATAATCTAAGACAAATCAAATTTTCTTTCTACAGACCTACAAATTTATCCATTCAGATTTGAGCTTCACTGTTCTCTTTCTTATTCTGGAACAACCAGTCATTTTTCTTATGTGTAATATTTTTCCTTTTAATAAACAAAAACAGGTTTCAATACGATGTATACAAAGTCATACTTCTCTGCCACTATTGCACCTAGTAGAGTCTCATTCAAGTATATTGGTTATATCTTTTAACCAAAGTAACTAACATTTCAGAGAGAATGGGGAGTGGGGAGGGTGGATCATCATAAACCATCTAGAACACACTAGCATTCTAGAAGGGTTCAGTAATACGCATAACATGACTTTCTCTAGCCTCCGGCACTCTTCACTTTCACACTTCTCAAGGTGTGAATTCAGCTACTGTGTTCCCCAACATCTCTGGGATTTAAGACAGACCTGGGTTGAAATCCTTTCACCACTGTGAGCCTTGACTTTGCTGAGCCCCAGTTTCCTCATCAGTAAAAGTCAGATGGGTTCTTGAGGATAAATGCGATAATATAAGGAAATATTCTTGACGTCTTGTGGCTGATTGAGGGTACTCAGTAGGTATCCTTTTACTTCCTTCCAGATAAGTTTAGGTTTGGATTCCTATCAAACACTAAATGTCACGTAGTTCTTCTGTAGGTCCATTATTATGCTGAGCTCTGAGGCCTGCAAAGACAGTCAAGACAGGGTTCTACCTTCTTGGAACTAAGAATCAAGCCGGAGAGAGGGTGTGTACACATAGTCAGCAATTTTGGAAGGCCCTGCTCTGCTTATTGAGTGCCAAAGGATGACATTTCCCATGTGCCATGTCATTCAGAGGACCAGCAAGGGGAGTGCAGAAGTCGGTTGGGGAGATTTTGAAGAAAACCGACTTGTTGAGCATTTAACACATAAAAGGTTAGATATTATGTGTACACATTGCCTGGCATACAGGAAGCATGGAATACGTGGCGGCTTTTACTATCATTATTAGTGATGATGATGTTATTATTACAGATACATATTAACCCAACTCACCTTTCCTGTGCTAAACAAAATACAGTCCAGGGTGGAGACAAATAAAAATAAAGACTTATAGTCTGAAAATGAGAAATCAAGTCTCTGTCACATTTAACTGCTTTCACATGTCCCCCATTTAAGAAGTGAAGAAGACAGAACAGGAAGCTGAAAGTGGATTGGCCCTGGGCCTTGGACTTCTCCTCTGTAAAATGAGGGTAATAATAATACCTGTATCACACGAGTGTTTTGAGGTTGAAATGAGGTACTATGTGTAAGGTACTTAGGTCAGTGCCAGGCTGATGTGAAGCACTGAGTAAACACTAATGATTGACTATATTCTATTTGCTTTTCCTACTACTTTGTGCCAGGCATTGTTTATTTGTAATTCTTGTGGAACTGCAAGGTGAATGTTAGCTTCCCTGTGGAACATATGAGTATAATGAGGCACAGAGCAGTTATGTAAGCCTGTCCAGCGCCACACAGCTGATAAATGACTGAGCTGGAGTTGGAATCAAGATTAGTCTGACTCGTAAGCCCATGGTCTTTCCACTGCCTTCCTAATGATAGCGTTGGGTGGGGAAAAGATTACATGGCCATTTGGCCTTGGACAAATCACTTAACATCTCCAATAAGGCTCAATTTCCTTATCTATGAAATGGAAATAATGATGTACCTATATCACAGGGTTTTGGTGAAGTTAAATGAGAAACTGCTTACAGCACTTAGCCCAGTGTCTAGCATACTTGGTATTGGCTAGGTGCTTATATATTTCTGTGAAGGGAGAGATTCATCTCCATTAGGAGAAGGAAGTCTTTGACTTGGATGTGGAGGTGTTCTGAGCAGAGGTCACAGAGCCGGCAAAGGCCTGCAAGTGGAGACATGGCCCGTCCCCTGTCTATGAAGTAGTAACATGTAGCTCCAGCTGGCAGGAACAAAGGGCGCCCCTGGACAGGAGGCTGGGAGTCATATGGCGCCAGGTGTGTGGAAACAGCTGCAGACATCCAAGCAAGAGTCAGAGACGGTGGAGTTTCTGCCCAGGAAGATGTTGCTGTCCTCTTCCTGTTAGGCCTTCCTTGTCAGGATGATGATGAGTGGCTTGTCCATGGCATTTCAGAGCCACAGAGCACCGGAGGTTCCCCAGCCCGTAGCCTGGCTGGTTCCTGCCTTTTGTGCCAGTGTCTGTGCGGGTGTGTCTGGGAGCGCCTGGCAGCATGGGAAATGACTGCAGCTGGTCCTTATGGGGCTGGGCCCATTTCCTGGGGCCCTCTGAGGGGACAGCCCAGAACGTGCATAAGAAAAGCCTGTGGGAGGAAATACCAGGGTGACCACAGCTGGATGAGCAGGAATGGGCAGGAGGGCGAATTGGGCAGGCAGGAAGAGCAGGAGCTGTGAGCTCCCCACACCTCGATCTTCCCCTGTGAGCTGGAAAAGGCCACAGCTGAGCTAGGATGGATGGTTCTGCCCTATGGAGTTAGCTAAGGGCTTTCACTGCCGGTACCTGGTGCCCACCCTGAGGAGGACGCAGGAGAAGGACATTCAAACGCATACCGAGAGATAACCTGTGTGCCAGACACTTTCACATCCAGGATATCTCATTTAATCTTTATAACACTCTCGTTCAGCAGGAGTGTATGATCTTATTTAAAGGAAGATCAAACTGAGGCTTAGAGACGTACAACAACTTGCCCAACGTCACGTGAAGTGGCAGAACCAGAAATAAGGACTCAGCCAATTTTGCTTGAAGTCTGAGGTCCGTTTCCTTGTTCTGTGGGCTAGCTCTCTCATATCTTACTTTCCTGCTGACTGCAAAGAGGTGCATGGTAAGGGCAGCAGAAAGGGCTGCTTAAAATGAGCTTTGATGGGAAGAGGCTGCTTGGAATAGGAAATGAGGGCTCCTGGGGAGAACCTGGAGGCTCAGCCCGTGATCCCTACTCCGGCCCCCCAGAAGGGGCATGTGAGCCTGTGGAGGTCCCATCCCCCACCCCTCGTGACAGCAGCTTCTCCCCCAGCTGCTTTTTGGGCTTCCTCTTCCACCCTGCTGTTTCCTCTTTCCCTCCCTACAGTGGACTGGCGTGCACCTCACTGGCCTGGGGTGGGGCTATCTGACTCAGGCCCTGTGGGCTGGTCTAGAAGGTAGCAGCAAGGTTTCGAAATAGTCTGTATGGTTGGCCAAGGCCTTGTTTTTTCCAGTCAAGTTTCTGTATCAACTGAGAGCTGGGGTCGGAGTTGACAGTCCCAAAGTAACAGCAGAATTGAGGACAGACACCAGGCGTAGAGTCCCTGAGGCCCAGGACGTCCTATCTGAGTCACTAACAGACACAGACACTAAGTTGGTGTGTGTTGGGGTGGGGAAGGGGGTGGGGGGGCAGTGTCACTACTCTCCTGTTGGCTTTTGGCTCAGGTCTTGTCCCCTGGACCCTTCCTGCTCAGGAGAAGGAAGGCCATCCTCCTACACCTCTAAGCAGGACTGCAGCTCTGCCATCATCAACATGCTTCCATCAGTGCTATTTACACAACCTTTCTTCAGAAGAGACACCAAGTTAAAACCTGTTGGCTGCCTCTTCTGAGCTCCACCAACACTCCCACCCTCCCCGTTATTCCGGCTGCTGATCGGAGCCCCTGCTGCAGCGTGAAGCCTGTCTTCATTCTGCCTGACCATTCAGGGTCCCCTACTCAGCTTTCTTCCCAAAGCAAAACCATCTGTCCTATATTTTCCTCTTTCCTAAAACAGATTGTCATCTGAGCCACCAATCTCTTCTCAAACGTCCTGAGTTCCTCGTGGCTCCTGGCCAATGGCTTCTTTCTCTGGGAAGGCTCTCGGGGCAAGCTCTGAGTCAACTTGATCTCTCTGAGCATGCGCCCACGTCTCAGCTGGAGGAAGGACAGCAAACAGAGGGTTCCCTGAGGGGCTGGCTGCTGCCCTGGGAGAGCTTTGCGCCTCCCAGAGGGAGCCTTGTCCTGTCTTGCATGCTAAAGGCCTGGCTCAGGGCTCTGCCCCTGTGGTATCTGTTCCTGGCTGGCTTTTTCCTAGCAGGATATCTCCCAGTGCTGGTGGAGGGCTTGGCGGGGGGAGGTGGGCACTCTCGCCATTGACCCCAGCCAGGTTCTTACTGTACCCAGCCCTCTATCCTTTTCAGATCTGCTTAGTCTCAGAACAGTCACATCCGAGAAGAGGCCACTGAGTCCATTTTCTCAGGACAAGTGCCAAAGTCACCTGTAGCCACAGCCAGCCCAGCCTGGAATGGGGGAGTGGCTAGGGAGCCACTGGGGAACAGGGGCTGTTTCTGACATCCCGGGAGCAGCGTCCCTCTGCTGGGCTGTTTCTTGGTTTTTGCTGTTGCAGTGGTGGTGGCAGTTGGTCTTTTGGGGGTTTTGTTTGTTTGTTTCTAATCTGTTGCTGCTTTGGGAGATGCCATTTCTTGATTTTTACCCCAGAAGCATTCCTAGTGCAAAGTCTCAACGAGGTCAATAAAGTTATTATCGGGCTTCTTCGAAAGAGTAGATTGGACTGTCAGCTAATAGTTAAGAGATAGCTAGTCGACCTCTCTATCTAACTTGGTTATTCAGTAACCAGTATCCGGTGGGGGGAGGTGGGTTCTGAGAAGTGCCACCTCTTGCTAACAAAGTCTTTGAGGGCCATCAGACAGCCACCCCATCTGGAGCAGCCGGGGATCTTCCCCTCCATCCTTTGATCATTGGCCTACTTGCCCAGCCCGGCCCAGCCCCTGGGCTGCCATCCTCCCTGTCACAGCCACCCTGGGGCCAGCTAGGCAAGGCCTGGCTGTTCATATTCTGTGCCCTGCTTCTTTTCTGGGACCTCTTGACTCATGAGGGAAGGACTGGTGACAGGAGAAGTGAAACCTGCGGGTTCTAAATGCAGGAGCGCGTCAGCTGCCTTCCTGAAGCTAGTGTGAGCTTGGCAGTCTTGGCCTCCGTCTAGCCTAGCCCTTAGCCTGACCGAAGTTCCCAGTCTCCTGTGGACCATGGCACCTTGATCTTTCTCTTAGGAAGAGAAAGGGGAATGGATAGAGCACCAGACTCGGAGGAGGCCCAGCTCCAACTATGCCATGCCCAGCGAGTGGTGTGACTTTGAGCTCGTCCCTCCATCCCTCTGGAGGCCAGGAAGGAAGTCCCAGAAGTGGCCAGTGCCAGGCCTAGTGTCACACAACACAGCTGAGGACCCCCTGCAGCCCCAAGACTCATGACTCTCCTGCTACCTTGGGTGTGTCAGGTTTTCTACCGGCAGGATCATGGGGGACTCCAGGTGGTGGATTTCAGGGAGTTGGGGTCAGAGCTGACAGGGATATCAGGCCACCACCTGGAGGAGGGCAGGGCTGGAATCTTGGAACCTACCAGGTCAGGATGCAAGTGGGGACCCCTGCTGACATTCCTGTCTGCCCAGGGGAGCAGGTGGGAGGGCCCCGGGGCTGGAGTCTCCCCTATGTCCCACTGTAGGCTCCCCAAGAAGCCCTAGAGCCCGCCACAGGCAAGGCCAGAGCTCTAGGAGCCAGAGAGTCCGTATGTTCATCTAGACCCAGCTATGCACAGTGGGAGGTGGGGTGGAGGGTCCCAGGCTGGCAGCCACATCTCTGCCTTCCAGGTAAATCCAGGGCCTAGAACCTCCACTTCCCAGGAGAGTTTGGTTCAGCCCCTGACCCCACTTGGCTCCCCTAACAGAGCAATGTGGGCCGCCTCCACCCCTCCAGCCCTTCTTCCTCATCTGAAAATTGGAAGCACACTAGCTGTCATCTAAGCGCTTGCTGGGCATCAGGAGCAATTTCAGACTGGTTAGGTGCATCTCACTAACCCATCAGTAGTTCTGAGAAAGGTGACAGACTCTGCTTTTCCGATGAGTAAAAAGATGTAAGGAGTGAAACCAGCTTTTGCCTGATTCCCAAGTCCTTACTCTTTTCTCTTATAGACATCCACCACCTGGGGTCCCCTGTGATGCTGCCATGTGCCTGGGAGTGGCTGGCAGGATGAAAAAGGCCCAGGGAACTGGCCTTGAGCCTTAGTGAGGAAGCCTGTCCGCGCTTCCTACCAAAACCTACAGGGCGCAGCCCTGGGTCTTCACCTGGCTTAGGCTGGCTGGGGTTCAGAGCCGCTGACCTGGGAACTCCCGCTCTCTTCAGTGGCTTCCCATCACCTCCACAGATAGCCTAAATGCCACAGCTTGGCATCTGAGGCCCTGCGCCATGCCACCTGAGGCCCCTGCCCTTCCCAGCCACCTCTGCTCCTCTGCTTGACTTAGTTTCACCCTTCAGATATCCCCACCGAGACAGAGTTCCCCAAACAGGTAGTGTCATTTCACACCTCCATGCCTTCGTGCACGCTGCTTCATGTCCCTGGCAGTCCTCCCTGCCCCAGCTGTGCTTGGCTTGGCCTCGTCCTGCTTGTTTTTGAAGCCTCAGCTCCAGGAATCCTTTCCCGACACTGCTCTCTCCTTCTGGCTCGGAGTCTCTCCTCTGTGCCATCTAGGGCTCTCTCTTATAGTGTCATCACACCAGGTCTAACTGTTTCCCGGCTGACCTGTGCGCCCAGGCAGGTGGAGATCCCGCTCATAGATTCTCTTGCTAGTGCTGGATTGTAGCATGGTGCCTGGTGCAGGATGGGCACAGGGATGCATGGGAGAGCAGCCTCGCTTCGGCCAAAGAGAATCAAGATGTTAGAAATGGGCACAGCTCCTCCTACTGAGGTTGGCAGGGACAGGACTCCAGACAAAAGGGCCATGGGGCAAATAAGGAAGAACACCTGGGGCCACAGGCAGCGGAGTCAGGGAGGGCAGGCTGGAGCTGACACAGTGCAGCGGGGGGAGTGGGGTGGGAGGGGAAGGGGTGCTAGCAGCAGGCTGTGCCTCCGGGCCCCCATTGGCTCTGACCAGCCCTGGGAGGGCTCAGCATGAGTGTGGAGGTGCAGTCTGGCTTCCTAGTCAACACCAGGCTACGTAGCCAGCAAGGGCTTCACTGCGGAGCCTGTGATGAAAGAACAGTCGTAGCTGGGGCCCCGAGGCCCCCAGGGATCTTTCAGACACTGAGAGGATCTGATTTGTCACCATGGTCAGTGGTCAAACATCTTGGCAAAGGCCCTGGCACGTCCATGTGGTCATGAAGGCTGGTCCCACTGACTGGGGGGCCTCAGCGGCAGTATAACCAGGGACCTGGGGACTGGGGGAGAGTCATGCTGTGTTCTCTTGTGGGACAGACAGGGTTGATGCTAGCAGCCATGTGTAACTGATGAGGAAACCAGAGGCAAAAAAAAAGGCTTAGGGATTCCCGGGAGGCTACACAGGCAATTAGTGAGAGGTGCCACGCAAAGCTTCCTGCCTCCCCCTGAACCAGGCGCATCCCAGGCAGGGCTTGGTGGGTGCTATCTGTAGGGCTGCAGGGTTCTTCCATCCCTTGCTCTTTACAGAAGGCCAGCTGGACAACCTCTTCAAAGTCTCTCAGAGGATTTCCCTCAGATTCTAGAAGTCCCTGAACTAAGAGTCATGAGCCGTATGGCAATGGGTGGAACCTGGAAAACATTGTTGCCACAAGCTTGCCCATGTCAGTCACTGTGACAGGCACTTGGAGTAGCCCCAGCTTCCCTAGACAACCTGAGTCCCTAGAGGACCTCTCTGACCCACATGTGCGCCTTTGGGAACCGGTGGTCAGAGAGGCTGGGGTGTGGAGCCGCCTGGATTCCAGACTACACTGTTGCACCTTCATGCCGGATGGGATGGAAAGGCACTGACAGCATTTTAGCAGAGCTGTGGAGGGGCAGGAGCAACTTCAGTCTCTCAAGAAGACAGACTGTGGGGACTCAGGTAGGAAGCTCAATCCAGGGGCAAGGTGAGAAGGAGCCTTGTAGCCCAAGCCCATTCAGGCTTCGCGGAAATGCCCCTTTATTTCCCAAGTGGTAGTGGGTGTTGCTTCATGCCACATTTGGGGGAAGTGGGTTTGAAGGAGGATTCTTAGGCAGAGGGAGCATCCAGTGTCCCCCCCTTGGGCTCTCAGAGCCAGGACAGAAAGAGCTTCAGGAGCCCTCCCACCCTTTTTCCTGACCTTTCTCCATGAAGTCTTCGGTGAGCCCTGGGTCTCGCCTAACTCCTGGCCCCTTCTCCTGGACTGGGGCTCCATTCTGAGGCCTATTTTCCATGCATGTCCTGGCTCCTGGCTGTGGCAAGGAAGCAGACAGTGACTCAGCAGGGCTCTGGGGTCCTTCCCCAGGCCTCAGGCTCGGGGAGCAGCCAGGGCACAGTGGAAATGCTGAGTGCCACCCAACTGGACTGTTCTTTCCATCCTGGGCCAGGGCATGGGATGAGACGTGAGGAGTGGGAGACAGCACATGTGTGTGAGTCACAGATGGAAAGAATGGGCTCTATCCAGTGGGATGGACAGACTGAGACTAAGAAGGCGGCTTGGGTCTGTCACCGGCTGTCCCACTGCCACCTCTTTTCCAACTACCACCTGGCTGAAGGAGGTGCTGTGTTTGCCCTGGTGGAAGCTTCAGAGGAGTGTCGACCTCATTTTAAAAGCAGACACTTCTCCTGACTGACTCAGTCTCCTTCCAACCGCCAATCATTTCAGACATGTGAAAACCACTCGAGCTCCCTGCCCCCACCTCTGCTGCACACACGCACACACACAGGCGCCCTGACCTCAGGGAGGCCGACGAAAAGCAGAGGTGCTGCCAGCTGGTCAGAGCAGGCAGAGGTGCTTCCCGTGGGCTGGGGCTGAGCCAGCTCCAACAGAGGCCTCAGGAGTTGGGACCAGGGAGACAGGTCCCCTGAGCACCCTGGCCTCTGGGCATTTTTTCCCAGCCTCCCCTTGGCCTCTGCACCAAGAAGGAAAGAGCTGGTAGTGCCCAGGCCCTGGGACTGCCAGAGGGGACACGGGTCGGGGATGCCGGCCCAGAACTTCCAGCCGGGGCTGACTTCCCACTAACACAGATGCCGTCCCTTCCTGCAGGTTTCGAGGCTCCATCCTGTTGCTGACCTTCCTCATTTACACCTGCTATCACATGTCCAGGAAGCCCATCAGTGTCGTCAAAGTGAGGCTGGCTGGCAGCAAGGAGGAGTGCAGAAGCATACTGTCATAACCGTCCTTACCCCTTCCCATGGCCACCGAGGCTCCTTTTGAGTTTATTCCCCAAGACAGTTGTGTGGGTGGCTGTAGATGGAATAAGCGTGCAGGGCCCCTGGGCTGTGTGGATGCTGCTCATGGCTCTGATGTGGCCGCTTTCCCCTGCAGCCAGTTCCTGCAGGAGGAGGTGCCAGTAGGGGGACATGGAATCTGGTTAGGAGGCAGTGTCTCTGGTATGGTTGGGGCAGGTGGTTGCTTGCTCCCCTCTGGGTCAACCCCTGACCTGTGTGCCCCATTGCCTCTCCAGAGCCGTCTGCACCAGAACTGCTCGGAGCAGATCAAACCCATCAATGATACTCACAGTCTCAATGACACCATGTGGTGCAGCTGGGCCCCATTTGGTAAGCACAGGACAAGGTGCTCTTCCCATTCCCCATTCCCTCTTCCTCGAGAAGGGGCTGTCCAGGGAGGGCTTCCTGCAGGGGCATCCATGCAGTCAGCTTTCTGTTCCTCCCATCTGCTTTCAGACAAGGACAACTACAAGGAGTTACTGGCGGGCGTGGACAACGCCTTCCTCGTCGCCTATGCCATTGGCATGTTCATCAGGTAAGGACAGAGGCTGAGCCTGTGACCAAGAGGAGGATTTAGAGCTGCTGCCTCCCCTTAAGGAACCTGGGGGCAGCTGGGTTGAAGCGAACTCCCACCAGGGAGTGATGGCTCCCCAATGTGGGAGTGAGATCAGGGATGCTGCACATACAACCCACCCACAGCCATCCTCCGTGCCTTACCACGGTCGCAGGCCTGCTCCTTCGCCTGGTAGACTCCCACTGGTAGCAGCTCTTTTGCCTGGAAAGGTTTTCCTGGATGTTGCCTTTGAGTCTGTTCACTCAGATAGCACAGTTGGTGGGTATGGACTGGGACCCTTTAAGGATGGCCCTGCGTGCACATATAGCTGGGAGAATCCCCGTCCTCTGCTGCATCCAAACCAGCGCGGGAAGCATGCTGTTCCTTGCCAGGAAGCCACGATCGATAAGGCTGCAAACTGCCTCCAAAGAGCTCACAGGCTAGTGGGGGCAATGGATGCATCGGCAGCTGGTGCTAAAACTGTGGCCGGCTCCATGACAGACGTGGCCATCGGGTGTTCTGGGAGCTCTGAGGTCGTTACTCAGTCCAAGCTGAGCTAGAGCAGAGGGGTCAGGGAAGGCTTGTTGGAGGAGATGGTGCCTGACCTGATGCAAGGGACTTGGGCACGGCGGTGCAGATGGAGACCTGGGCAGAAGGAATAGCAGGAGCAAGTAGGGCAAATGTGAAGAAGCAGCATGACCTACGGGAGGAACTGCGGGCAGGTGTATGGAGGGAGTGACAATGTAGGGAAGGTAGCAGCAGGGCTGAGGGCTGAGGGCTGAGGTCATTTGCACATGAGGTCCATGGGCAGAGATGCATGGAAGGGTTTTCGCCAGGGCGTCCCATCCAGATGGGCATTTCTGAGAGTGATGCTGAGGTGGATGAGACTGGTCACACAGAGGGACCAATTTGACAACAGCCCAAGCTGTTGAGCTTGTGTTACTATAGTGGTGATAGAGGTGGAAAGAGGCGATGTACTGGAGCACTAGCTAAGAGGTAGCCGGGTGAGTCTTGGAGACTGAATGTGAGGGGTGGGGAGGAGGGGCGGGAGTCTGAGGGAGCTCTGAGCCTGGCTTGAGTGGCCAAGGGGTGGCATTCACTCAGATAAGGGTAGCAGGATGATGAAGGCGTCAGGGCGGTTGGCAGGAGGAGGAAGAGGAATTCAGCTTAAGAGCACTGGGTTTCAAATGCCCCAGGGGCATCTGAATAAAGGAGGCACCTGGCTGCGACTGACTGTGAAGCTCTGGGAGACAGATCAGGCCTGAAGATATGCATGTGGAGCTATTTAGCCTATGGGTGGTTGTTACAACCATAAAAGTGATGCAAAAGGCTGCTCCGAGAGGAAGATCCACGACAGGGAGCGGCTGGCCAAGCGAGGAAGATGGGCAGGCTGAAGTCATGGAGCATGGCCAGGTGTCACAGAAGCAGTGGGGGACAGAGGTTGGCCCTGTCACATGGCCACACAGAGGTCATTGGTGGGACCTTGGCCAGAGCCACTTCCTAGTGTGGTGGGGGCAGAAATGTGGTAGGGAGTTGAGGTGGACTCAGAGGAGCTTAACCGCAGATCCAACTTTCTCTTCCCCAGTGGGGTCTTCGGGGAGCGGCTTCCGCTCCGTTACTACCTCTCAGCTGGAATGCTGCTCAGTGGCCTTTTCACCTCACTCTTTGGCCTGGGATATTTCTGGAACATCCACGAGCTCTGGTACTTTGTGGTCATCCAGGTATGAGTCACCGTCTTGCACTTGGGCCTGTGTTCCCGTCTCGGGAAGGACCTGGGAGACCGCCGCTCACAGCGGATGGGAGCCTGTGTTCCTGGCTCCCTGTCTGGTGCTGTCTATTACACTGCACTGGGTTCCACCTCCTGGTCCTACTGCCCCCGCATTTATTCACTCAGAGAGTTGGCCTTGAGCACAATGCCATGGTCACTTCTGATGCCCGAGAGGCTTGGTCTCTGCTTGAACAATCTTGAGCGAGAGAAGCCAGCTCATGACACTGAGGAGGTGTGGCATGTGTGTAAGGGAAGGGCAAGGTTTGTAGTGTGGGGTATGGAGGGCTCCTTGGCCATAAAATTGAACCTCCTCAGCCCAGAGTGGTCAGAGCAGGGAGCCAGTTGCTCAGCCCAGGTCTGCTCCCACCCTCCCTCCCCTCTCCCTGCAGGTCTGTAATGGACTCGTCCAGACCACAGGCTGGCCTTCTGTGGTGACCTGCGTTGGCAACTGGTTCGGGAAGGGGAAGTGAGTGTGACAAGGGAGGAGGAGTGGGAAGGATTGGGAGGGCTGGGGGTCCCGAGCTGGTCACGGTGGCCTCTGATGTGATTTCAGAGGGAAGGGTCAGAAAGCGGCCTCTGAGTTGCTGTTCACATGCTTAGCAGTGGCTAAAAGCAGGACTGATTTTCTCATTGATGAGGCTTTAACCCATAGAGCAGGCAACCTTAGTTATGCTTTTTTCTAATAATAGATGAATTTCTATTTTCAACAAAGACAAAAAGCCTATAAAACTTTTGCTCCCCCTTAATTGACTTGTGTGCAAAACAAAGTTGCTTCGGAGAAGGGATTTTCGACGTTGGCACTACTGACTTTCTGGGCTGTTGGACCCTTGTTTGGGGACCATCCTACCACTGCAGGCTGTTTAGTAGTAGCCTTCCTGGCATCTGCTCACTGGATGCCGTAGCACACCCCGAGTTGTGACCATCAAAAATCTCTAGCTGTTACCAGATGTCCCTGGTTGAGGACAGTGCTTTAGAGTGAGATGGTGGGACAGAAAAGAACGAGGGCCGGGCCCCCATGCCCTCGGTGTGGCTCGAGCTCCCATCGGCACTCACTCAGGCAGCTGGGCAGGGGGAGCGAGACCCCAGGCCCCGCAGCCACCTGCTTGACACCACCCAAGGTCTCCCACTCCTTGCTGACTTGCGGCTTTGGGGCTCAGTCTTTGGTGCCTTGGGGAAGCTGCAGTCGGCCCAGCTTTAGAGCTTGGTTGGGGCCGTTGCTATGAACAATGTGCTTTGCTTTTTACTTTTTCTACCCTCTTCCTTTCTCTCCCTCCCTTCCAGGCGGGGGTTCATCATGGGCATCTGGAATTCCCACACATCTGTGGGCAACATCCTGGGCTCCCTGATCGCCGGCATCTGGGTGAATGGGCAGTGGGGCCTGTCGTTCGTCGTGCCTGGCATCATTACCGCCATCATGGGCGTCATCACCTTCCTCTTCCTCATCGAACGTGAGTGGGCCCCTCACTCCCCACAGACCCCACAAGTGAGCCTAGAATGTCTCGATTTTTGGGAGAAGGCAGCTAGATCTACTGGAAAGATTGCTGGTCACAGAGTGGGAGGACCAGCCTTGAGACTTTGGACAATCTCTCAGAGCCTTTATTTTCTCATTTGTAAAATAATAATAGTAATAATAATGTCTATTTCGTAGGATTTCTGCAGGCTTAACTGAGACACCATAGTTAAAATGCCTGGCCCATAGGAGGTGCTTGGCAAGCACTGGTTGAATCTGAGAGGTGTGAGCAAGGAAGGTGGAGTTGAAGGGACATTTTTACAGTGACCAGGCTCTCCACTTGCTGCAGGTGGCCTTGTGCACTAGCCAGGCCAGGTATGAGAGCCACTCTGTAGCTAAGAGTACTAAAGTCCAAGAGGCAGTAGTGACACAGCTGGTTGTTAGGAAAGCCAGGCCTAGAAAGCTGTCTCCTGAGCCCCAGGCCCTGCTCCCTCCTGCTGGGACACACACTGGCCACCTTAGGATTTGGAGGTGGGGCCGGTTCCTGGGATGTCTTAGACCCAGTGCGAGGTGAGGGCCTGGCAATCACCTTGGGATTGGGGGGGTTGGGAAGCTTCTTAGAAGGCGATTTTTTTTTTTTCCAGACCCAGAAGATGTGGACTGCTCCCCTCCTCAGCACCATGTGAGTGTGAGCCCTCCCAGCCCCGTCCCTGCCCTCCAACTCCATCCAGAGCGCTGGACGCAGAGAGGCCTGGGGAGCTAGAGCAGAGAGTTCTGGCCCTCACTGACCTCACAGACCCAGTGCTAGGCACATGGGTTGGCCCTACAGCCTGATGGGTCTGGCAGGTCAGTCCAGCCCGAGATGAACATGTGCCTCCCCATCCTGGGGGCCAGTGTCTCTTGCCTGGGCTGCACCTTCAGCTGGTGGGAGGCAGCACACAGACGCACCCACATCAGGGCTCGTCTCCTCTGCTCAGGGTGAGCCAGCTGAGAACCAGGACAACCCTGAGGACCCTGGGAACAGTCCCTGCTCTATCAGAGACAGCGGCCTCGAGACTGTGGCCAAAACCTCCAAGGGGCCGTGCGAAGAGCCTGCTGCCATCAACTTCTTTGGGGCGCTCCGGATCCCAGTAAGAAGTTTGTGGAATGGAGGAAAGAGAGGGGCTCTCCATATTTTTCTGTTGGTGATGAGGAGATGGGGTGCTTGGGTGATCTCTTTTTCTAGAACTTCTTTATAGGGGAGATGTAAACTGCGCAGCCTGCCTGGGGAGGGCAGTGTGGGAGACTTGTCTTGAAACGACCTTGCACAGTGGTCATGTTGCTTTTATTGGGACTGGATGTGTTGGAGGCTGCCTTGTGTGGCAGGTGATGGAAAGTACTGGGGTGGTGCTGAGCACCCCTCGGGGCCACCACTGAACCCAGGACCTCTGGACCCCTTCCCATGTGCCCCCTGTTGCACTCCCCAGGGCGTGGTTGAGTTCTCTCTGTGTCTGCTGTTTGCCAAGCTGGTCAGTTACACCTTCCTCTACTGGCTGCCCCTCTACATCTTCAATGTGGGTAAGTCCAAGAGAAGGGGAATGAAGGGGTCTCTGAGGAGGCCAAGGCCACCTCTGGTGGGAGAGGAAGCCCGTCGTGGTGATACCTGTGATTCCAGTGTATAGGCAGAATTCCTGCGGAACCTCTCCTAGAGGGAAAGGAGCTTGATTTAGTTCTTTATTTAAATGAAAGCTAAACCCAGCACGCTACCCCCTAGACCCTGACTCCAGCCACCTTCCCTCCGTTGGAACTGAGCTGGGGATTAGGAACTCAGAGCTCTGTTCTGCAATTCTTGCTGTCTTCTTCTCTAGCCCTTAGTGTAGGAGAAGACCCTCCAGGCTGATAGGTGGGAGGGTTGGGAGGTGCTAGGAAAGGCCTGCCTGCCGGATCTGTCCCCAGTCCAAGGAAGAGGGCCTGATGAGCGACCCCACTCCTTGTAGCCTGGTGGTGACCATGGTGGTCTCCCAGTGGGGCCTCATGGGATTGATGCCCCTATGCCTGGGTCTGCTGGGCTGCACTGGTGTTCCGCCCTGTCTCACGGACCTACTCCCTGCTGCCCCTGCCCAGGGATGTACAGATGAGAAGACATCACTTGAAAAAGGATGTTTCATGTCCACCTGGCCTGGGTCTCGGCTTTTCCATAGGTCGGGCTACCAAAGAGCAGCCCAGCCCGCCCTGCCCAGCCCCCAGGAGCCTCCAAGCTCCACCAGGGCTGAGGACCTCTCACCCAGTACTGCTCCCCTCCCTCCCAGCCCGGGGGAGGAACAACAGCGCCTTGCCACACATTGTGCTTGCTCTGAACAGGATACTGTAGGAATTACTCATGGCCAAGTCTCAAGCCGTAGCTTGCCCTGCAGCTGTCGGGGCGTCTCTCTGTGACAGTGTGGAGCGCTAGGGCAGCTTCTTGGACACCGTGACTCTTTGTTTTGTGGCCTTGGTGCTGACTTCAGAGTATGAGGCAATCTCGAGGGTGGGGCTACAATCTCGGCTTCTGGACATTCCTTTTTTAAAACATGGAGCCAAGGCCTGTTACCTGAGGCCCCTGTGTCCCTGCAAGTCTCCTTCCTGGCCGTGTATGAGCACAGCCTCAGGTAAACGGGAAGAGCGCCTAGTGCTGCTAGGGCCCCAGTGAAGCAGAGAAAGGGCTGGGCTGAGCTCAGGTTGCGTTCCAGGGGAAAGGTGGCCACGGGACAGCAGGCTTGGGGGCCAGATCCCAGGGCTTGCCGGGGAGGGCTTGTTCTGGGAGGTGAAGGTCATCCTGCAGGGGAAGAGGGCAGTACAGGACGGGACCAGGAGGGCATCTGTCCAAACTGCTGCACTCTCACCCTGTGGCCCTGGCCAGCCTGCTCCACACGTCCCTAGCTCTTCCTCAGAAAAGGGGGCAGTGGCCTGGATCATGCTCTGCAGGGCTTCTAGCTGTGACGCTCAAGGATGTTTGTCCTGAATCCCAGGTCTGACCACATACCTGTGTTTTCCACAGCTCACTTTAGTGCCAAGGAGGCTGGGGACCTGTCTACACTCTTTGATGTCGGTGGCATCATAGGTGAGGCCCTGCCCTGCTCTGCCAGCAGTCTCCCTTCCCCTCTTTTCTTGTGGGGTGCAGGAAGAAGGGACAGGTCCAATGGGCTGTGACCTGGGTAGGTGGCACCAGAGGAAAAATGGCTCCTGGGTTTATTCTCAGTTCTGCTCCTGCCTGGCTGGGTGGGCCTAAGAAAGATGCCCTTTTGTTTGGTCTCCAGTAGTGTTGGGCACTAGAGGAAGGGGAGAGCTGCAGACAAAGCAGCTCTGCTGGTTCTTGCTGACAGGCCCAGGCCAGCACTGGGCACAGCTGGGGTGCCAGATGAGGGGATGGGTGGTCCTGTCTGGGGGGCAGTGTGTGAGTGGGTGTGTGTTCCAGGCGGCATCATGGCAGGGCTCATCTCTGACTACACCAATGGCAGGGCCACCACTTGCTGCGTCATGCTCATCTTGGCTGCCCCCATGGTGCGTATAACCTCGAGGGTAAAGTGCGAGTGCATGTGAGCAGGAGCCTGTGTGGGCCTCTGGCCTGTGTGCACGTCCACGTGTTACACACATGGATGTCTCTGTGTACACGTGCACGTGCATCCCTGTGCGCACACGGGGGAGGAGAGGCGAGGGTCAGCAGAGGCACCTTGGAAAAAGAGCCAGACTGCAGACTTTAGAGGGAGATTCATGACTGTTTGGCCTTGGTAGAGAAGGAGACCACCTCCTAAACGTCTTGATCAAGGAAAGAAGAGATTGAGGTTGAATCTGAGAGAAGACTGTTGGGAGAAAGGGAGATGATAGAGTACCACGTTTTAGGCCGTCCATCCTGGGACATTTAAAGACCAGAGAAATCTGGGTATGCGAGGGAAAAGGAATAGGATGCCTTCTGGGGTTTCAGGGCAGGAGATGGTTGTTCCAGACCTCAGGGCTCCAGGCCGGCAAAGGGATTCTGGGTGACTCTGCCTCTCCCCTCTCCTCTCTCAGATGTTCCTGTACAACTACATTGGCCAGGACGGGATTACCAGCTCCATAGGTGAGGAGGAGGTTGCAAGTCCTGCCAGGCCATGGGAAAGGCACTGCCTTGGGGGCCCCATGAGGCCAGCCCACGTGGGGGCACTGGCAGGTGGAGGGGCTGGGAGGGCTGAAGGCCAGAGGGTGCTCCTGCCCTGGGGCTGCGGCTGTGAGTGGTGCCTCCTCTCTGACTGGGCTGTCTCTGTGCTGTCCCAGTGATGCTGATCATCTGCGGGGGCCTGGTCAACGGCCCATACGCGCTCATCACCACTGCTGTCTCTGCTGACCTGGTAAGTGGGGCCACCTCCCAAGGGCCAGGAACCACTCTGGGGGCTTGGTCAGGGCCACCATCTGCAGGTCCATTTCCCACTGTCTCCCATCCCGCAGAGGAGAAACCGTCAAAGTGCTTCAGAATGTACCATGGGCCCCTCTCCTCTCAAGCCCAAACCCCAGTCACCACCTTCCCTGAGTCAGCCCCTCTCCTGTCCTGGTTCCGCTCCTGCAGCCGCTCGGCTGGGCTTTCCCACGCCACTGTCTCTCTCCAGGGCACTCACAAGAGCCTGAAGGGCAACGCCAAAGCCCTGTCCACAGTCACGGCCATCATCGACGGCACCGGCTCCATAGGTCTGTGACTCTAGTTCTGTTGTGGGCCGGCCCCTGGGCATAGTGCCCTCTGGTGGGCAGGGGAAGTGCAGGTCCCCCTGCTCACGAGGCTGTGCTCTATTCAGGCGCAGCTCTGGGGCCTCTGCTGGCTGGTCTCATCTCCCCCACGGGCTGGAACAACGTCTTCTACATGCTCATCTCTGCCGACGTCCTAGCCTGCTTGGTAAGAGTCTTGGGGTACACAGATAGGTATTGAGGGATGCTCCGTCCTGCGAGGCTGCAACCCTGGAGGTCCAAAGCATTGGCCATTGGGGGTTCTGGGGTAATGAGAGCAGCTGCCCTTTGCTCGGAAGCACTCTCCCTTTCCGAGTGACCCCTTGCCAAATGGGAGTGTGTCTCTCCCCCTTCTCCACTGCCAGTCCACGGGTCACCTGGCGCTGGGCACTCAGTGCTCAATGCTAACGGTGCCCTCCCTTCCCTCTGCGCCTTGTGCTCCACAGCTCCTCTGTCGGTTAGTGTACAAAGAGATCTTGGCCTGGAAGGTGTCCCTGAGCAGAGGCAGCGGGTGAGTCCTCCGGGGAGCTGAAGTTGCCCCCCTCTGCCAAACCCACTTCTCATGGGAATCAGCCCAGGGCTCAGTTTCTCCAAACGCAGGCTGAGGCTCCTCCAGCCCAGACCTGAGGAGCACTGAGCCAGTCCCTGGGTGGCCCCGCCCTGCTAACCTGTCCCCTGTTGTCCCCGTGTGTCTCCATAGCTCTAGTGTGGTCCTAACCCACCAGCGATAGTATTTCCCTCAAGTCCCATGACTTTTGTGAGTATTTACTTCGAGTCTGTGACTCAAGCGCCATTTGAATGGGGGCTGCATGCAAATCCTCTGTCCTGCAGTATGACTTTTTCCAACTTTCTCGTTTTTCTCGGGGCCACTTGTAAAGACTCAGCCTCAGCAGAGCATAGTGCGTGGGAAGCGTTTGCCAAGGGGTCTGAGATGCCACAGAGGTTGGCGGCCTCTTCCCTGAGGGACAGTGTTAGAACTTTGGACGTGCCCTCCGGGGACAGAGGAGGCAGAAATAGGGAAACCAGTTTCCCTCTGAGCTGAGACTGAGTTGCAAGTGCCTCCTGAAGTTCAGAAACCAAGGTCATCTGGCCCCTCTGCCTGGGGTATGCAGAAAAACAGCAACTACCAATCAAAGTCTCTGAAACAAACGTGAATCAAGCATGGGTGCTGGCCTGGTGTGCTCTCTGCCTCCTGTCTGGTGGTGGTGGATGTGGTGGTGGCACCAGTAGGTTAGTGGCTGAGGCTGCACAGTGCTGGTGGTCGGATGGTGGGCGGCCCTCTCCCGCTGGGTGTCCTGAGCAGGAGCCTCGTGCTAATAAGGAGGCTGCTAACGAGCTGGCCGGAGCCGTGGACCTGGGCTGGATGGCAAACGTGAGGAGCGAACCCCCTGGGTCATGGTAACCAGCACGCATCCGGGGACGCACTTCCACTTAAGGAAGACACCACGCAGGGGAGAGAAAGTGAGAGCAGGAAGACACACGACACAGGAAGCACACAGAGCACCTGTCCTGCCCTGCCTGTCCTGGAAGGGCAAAGTTCCTGTGCCTGTGCTCCTTGGAGCCAGGCCTGAGGGTGGGAGGGGAAGAAGAGCAGCAGAAAGCGAGAAGGAGTATTTAGTGAGCAACTGCTCGGTGCCTGGAGTTGTGTCTGGCTTTCGATGTGTGAGCTTGCCTCGCAGCAGCCTCTCATTGGAGGTGAGAGGCAGAGACTCAGAGCTCGGGCACAGCCTAACACTGAACCTGGGCCTGGGGGTTGTTTGCTTTTCTCTGGACTGCCACCGCTGTCCCAGGCTGGTCCTTCTCCACGGGGAGCCTGTGTGTGAGGTGTGCAGTGATTTGTCAGAGCAGACAGAGCACTGGACTTGGAATCCAAAAACCCCTGGACAGTCCCGCTTTCTCCACTCACTCCATGAGACCTTGGTCATAGCATCCAGATTCTCTGAACTACCACATCTTTGTGTATGAACGGCGATGCTTATCCCTGAATACCCGGCAGAATTGACCTGAGGCTGAGATAAGATGGGATATGTGATGTTGCTTTGTAAAGCTGTCAAATGTGGCATGAACATTGTAAGGTTTTAATTTCTTTCTTTTTTTTTTTTTTTTTGAGGCAGAGTTTCACTCTTGTTGCCCAGGCTGGAGTGCAGTGGTACAATCTCAGTTCACTGCAACCTCCGCCTCCCAGGTTCAAGTCATTCTCCTTCCTCAGTCTCCCGAGTAGCTGGGACCACAAGGCAAGCGCCACCATGCCCGGCTAATGTTGTATTTTTAGTAGACAGGGTTTCTCCATGTTGGTCAGGCTGGTCTTGAACTCCCGACCTCAGGTGATCCGCCCGCCTCGGCCTCCCAAAGTGCTGAGATTACAGGCGTGAGCCACCGCGCCAGGCCAGGTTTTAAGTATTAATGTGGCTTAATATTTCCTGCCTGAGAGGTCTAATTACAGAGAACTGAGATGAAAGCAATGACGACGGGACCCTGGGACCCTGTCTTTCCTCTCCCCAGTCAGCAGGAGCTTATGAAGTCGTCTCACTTTCTCTTCCGCCCCTCTTTCCTCTTCATGCAGGTATAAAGAAATATGAGGCCCCAGTTGGAAGAGCAGCATGGAAGGCCCCAATTGGGTCCCCAGTGTGCTCCCCATGGGCAAGACAATGAAAACTTCCACAAGTAAGGGAGGCAACAACCCCTCTTAACTGAACATCAGCCAGCCCAGTCCAGACCCAGGGCTGCCTAAGGACACAGAGATTCTCCATGGGAAGGGGACTGCCAAGCATGAGGAAGTAGAAGATTCAGGGGCCTGAGCTCTGGAAGCTACAAGCAAAGGGCATGGGACTGGGGCTGAGTTGTGTCTCCATTTTGATAAGGGAAGGATATGCTCAGACTCTTGCTTGTTCAGATTCCAAGACAGAAGGCTTCACAAGGCCAAGGCCTGGAAAATGTGCATCTCTCCTTCCCATGTTAAATTTTAATCTCTGTAATCTGCCTGTATCTGTAGGTGGGCATCTCACTCCGTCAAAGGAGCCCAGCCTCTCTTTGTCCCTCTATCCATGAAACAGTCTTCTCTGTGCATTTCCCCAAGCTGGGCCCTCTTCTACCCTCCATTTAGGCCTGTTGATAGCTCCCTTACCTGCCCATCACTGCTTTCTCCAGGGCCAACACTCGGGCGAGGCAGGGGAGCTGCCTTCAGTACATAATTTGAGGGGGCACTCCCTCTTGGGCACAGGCCGACCCTGAGTGCCTCCCTTGCCTCACTCTGATCCTGGTCCCGTAATGTCCTCAGTGGAAAGTGACTGGGGGCCAGTGCTGTGGGGAGAGTAGAAAGAGGAGTTGGCATGACTAAAAATACCAGTATGTGTATTAAGTATTTTGAGAATGAAATGCCAAGGAGTGCCTACTGTATGCCAGCTCTGCTCTAGGAATGGAGTAGACAATGGACACAAGAAGGACTTACGCCCTGAGCACAAGTGCCAGCGGTGACAAGACTGGCAAGATGTGAGGGCATGCATGGTTCATTCAGGCAGTTGCTGCAGGTGTGGTCGCCTGGCGCCATCTGCCGCTCCCTTTTCCACTTTTCTGTATCCTCCTTCCACCCCAAGTCCTGGATCACTCAGTCTTCTGGCTAGCTCTTGACACCTCCATCTGACCCTAAAGTTGCCCATTGGCACCAATAGATTCCCTTTGACCTGCTGCACCCATGCTCATCCTTGTTGGGGCTTAGCTCAGTAGGGAGCGGGGCTCGCGTGGGCTGCTGAAGTGGGGTCCCAGGACCACCAGGGGGGCAGGTTAAAGCTGCTGACAGTGGGCATTCCTGAGGGGATGCTCAGGACACTGATGATGTGTGGGCAGACTGGGAGCTTAGAGCGCCATACAAGATACAAGCCTTGCATTTCCTGGGATGTGGTGGCTGGTGCATTAGCCAGATACACACCCTTCCACGCTGAAGCGGGCTGCACAGGCGCAGTGGCGACCAACAGGGAAGGCTCCTCCTGCCTGCAGTCACTTCAGCTCTGAGCGTAAGAGTCAGCCAGGGACCTCCAAGTCCTCAGAGCCCACAGGGGCAAGAGCTATCCTCTGGCCTTATGTTCAGCATTTGCGAAAGCTGCTCTCCGCTGCTCTTTGACATTGAGAATGAAATGAAATTAGTTATTCATTTAATTTAACTTCACATTTGGTCTCAATTAAGCTTAAAATGTTCTTCCTTATAGATGCTCCAATAGCACTTGTAATTAAGGAGCTTAAGGAGAAGCTGTGTTGCTTACATGAGCCACTAGATGGTGACCCAATCCCATCATCCAGCCCAGGGTGGGCTGTGGTTCCATCCTGCTTCCCAGAAGAGAGACAGGAGCAGGCGCCTCTTGACTTTTCAGACTTTCAACTTGCTTTCTTCTTCAGAGGGCAGGGGAAGAGGAATGGGTCTCTCGAGGTCTTCTCTTCGCCAGCTGCACTGCTTACTAACTTTAAGCCTGTTTCGTCATCAGGAAAATGATGACATTACCTACCTCATAGGATTGGTATGAAGGGAGACAAACATCGTCATCACACTCCTGCCCTTGGAGAACTTGTCTAGTTAGGGGATAAGTAGGAAAATACACGGCGACAGTGGCTCCAGGTGAGAGCTACGCTGTTCATTAGTCCAGCCATGCAGGAACAGGGCTGGCAGGAGGGCGATTCCAGGGGCAACGGCAAGAGTCCTTCTTCCTTATGAAGGCAGAATTCTCAGGACTTGGATGATTCATTTGATAAGGTAGTGAGGGGTAGTGGAAGAGGGAGGAAGTTAACATGAATACTTATCCAACTCCTACGATGTTAGGCCTTAGAGACTGAAAACCAAACAAATGGCATTGGCTCCTACCGGCAGGTAAGTGTAGCACTAGATACATGCAGAAGGCATTGTGGGAGCTCAGGGTCTGGCCTCAGAAATGAGGACTTAGGCTGTGGGTACGGAGTTGGGAAAAATACCGAAGGTTGGCGGAACCCCAGCCCTGAGATCTGCCTGTCTGCACCCATCTCCCAGGTCCCAGGTTGCTGGCCCTGTTTGGGCAGCTCTGGGCACAGCCTGTTCACCCGAGGCCTGGTACCTGCCTTCTCCCTGGGTCTCAGCACTCACACGGGGCCAATGCAGGAGCATTACGTTAATTAGTTATTCATTTAATTGAACTTCACATTTGGTCTCAATTAAGCTTAAAATGTACTTCCTTATAGATGTTACAATAGCACTTGTAATTAAAAAGCAATAACTCTCTGCGTTTCTCTAGAGATCCACTGGGAAGCTGGGCGAGTGTGTGTGGGGTGGCTTGGGGAGGAGGAGGAGGCAAGAGGCAAAGAAAAGAAAGGGAAAGAAGCTCTTGGTCGGTCCTAACACCATGAGGCCACAACTAAGACTGAGGCTGGCAGGAGGAACTCAACACGTCCTGGGTGTCTGAGTGGGGGTGGGAGAGTTGCTGTTGGGAATCCTGAGACGTGACAAAGGAGCAGACCTCCTACTGAAAGGTGTGGAGGTAGGGAGGGTGGCCGATGGGGGTGGAAGGAGGCCATGCTTAGAGTTACAGAAGGGGCCCTATATTCTGTGGTAGGTACAGTGTGCCCCCACAAGATGTCCACATCCTAATTTCCAGAACCAGTGAATGTTACCTCACATGACAAATGAGATTTTTGCATATGTGATGAAGGCTCTTGAGATGGAAAGACTGATGGGGTGGACCCAGCGGAATCAGGGCTCCGTGTGAATCAGAGGGAGGCAGGAGTGATGGGGATAGGCAGATGCCACTTTGCTTATCTTGAAGACTGAGGAAGGGTCCACCAGCCAGGGGGACGGGGGTGGCCTCTAGAAGGTGGCAAAGGCAAGGAAAAGGGTTCTCCCGAGTCTCCAAAGCCTTTCCTTTACCCCTTGAAACCCATTTCTGGTTTCTGACCTCTGGAGCGATAAATGTGAATTGTTCGAAACCAGTAAGTCTATGGCAATGTTACAACAGTAATAGGAAATTGATAATATTCCCAGTGTAAAACTGGGGTATGACCAGTTTAAAGGCAGGAAAATAACCACAAGCAAACAAAAGAAATCCCCAAAGCTTAAAACAAGTGAAGGGGCTGGCCTCGTAACAGTTAGGCACAGCGTAAGGGCTACTGTGTGACGACCTCACCCAGGAGTTCTCCGAGGGCAGGACTTGGACTAAATGCACAGACTGTATCATCCCCAGCATGATGTGATGAAAATGATTAAAAACACACTTTCTCATTCTGTCTGTGGCACTGAGCCTGATTTCGATCCAGCTCTCATTTCTTTGGTGGCAGGAAACTGAGAAAAGGTCGGGGAAGTGGGGGTTGCGGGGGGGATAGGGACTCAGAATTTTTTTTTTTTTTTTGCATAAACGGTCACCACCAATAATCTGCTAGAGACAGAGGTCAAGTAGAAAACAAAACAAAAATTCCTAGTTTTTTTTTTTTTGCATAAACAGTCACCACCAATAATCTGCTAGAGACAGAGGTCAAGTAGAAAACAAAACAAAAATTCCTAGTGTGTGGCTTTGATTCTGCCACTGGCACCTCTGAAAACCAACCCAGTCTCAACCTTCCAGCTGGATGGTGCTTACAAGAGAGGTGGCAGTGTTCTTGAAACTTGAAAACCTAGTCTACTAGCAGCTCAGCTGTTTAGTAGCTCTGAGCAAGGGGAAAACCAAAGTCTAACAGCAGAGACCTGCCAGAAACACGGGGCTAACACGTGAAGCTCTCTCTGAGGCCTGCGTGCCTGTTCACGCTTTCCCCCAGACTCCTGCACAATTCCTAAGGTTCTGATTTTTCCACCAGGCTCAGCCGCTTTTCCTTGGTATTTCTATCAAGTGGATTTTCACTGCCTGCCCTTGCCCCTCCTTTTCCTTCGAGTTTATCTTATGGAGCGACGCCCTGTAACAGAAAGTAGTCAGGCTCTTAGACTCTAGAGCCAAACTGCCTGACTTCGGATCCTGACTCCTGTTTACCCCTACCACCCTGTGCCTGTTCCCCGTCTGTGAAATGGGGATATGAAGAGTACCTACTTCATAGGGCCAATATGAGGAAGACATAGTACTGACAACATACTTAGAAAAATGCCTAGCATATGTTTGCTAAATGTAACAAAAATTGTTATTTTGACATGTGGAACCCTAGACTTATTTCCAAGTATTGGGATGAAAATAGAGATTAAAGGTTGAACTTTATGAACTATAAAATCTCTTCCAATCCTGAGTTCTTATGCTCCTATGAGGATAATCAACACTTTTCCAGATTCGTTTCCATACGGTTCTGATTCTCACATCTGGAAATTCATTTCTATGTAACAGCCAGATATTAAAGGTTTAAGCAAAGGAATGATGATTGAATGTTTGTTATTTCTACTAAAAATGATCATTAGAATCCTTTAATGAAACTTTTACCTTTTTGGGTATGTGTTAGGAAAATGTCAGGTAAAAATAGCTAAGAAACACTATTAACCAATGTAAAAATAAGGAGTTACTTGAAAGCCAAAAGTGATCTTTAAACTATTTGAGAAATGAGATGTCAGGAATCCTGATGTCAAGTTGGAGCCCGACTTCTAATTAACTGTGAAACTTTTTAAATCCCTTGTCCTCTCTGCCTGTTTCTCATCTGTAAAATAATCACAGCAGGTTTCTTTACACATTGAGCAAAAAATAAACCAGAAACACTTCAACTGCAACAACCATGAAATAGAGTTGATACTAAAGTTTCTGTTAAATAACAGAACAAAAAATGGATTGCTTTATGTTAGAATAAAAACATTTAAAAATAAATTGGATGCCCTCCTTCCAGGACGGAGAGAGGAAGACAGTCTAGACACCTCACAGCCTAGTTCTCTGATGGGCTTACTCCACCAGGACTAGTGCTTTACACCCTACAGGCTACATGCTGAATGAACGGCAGGATGCGAGAATGAATGGCTATGTACTCTCTAGTACCTGGGCATTGCTATGGTAATTCTGATGCAGTTTTACATTAAATTTACATTGTATGCAAAGAATGGTAGCTTTACTTCCACTTTTATAAGTGAAAAATTTAAGGAACTTATCAACAAATTACCCATTGTGATTTCCATTGTGGGGATAGGGTGGTGTCCTGCTAACTCAGCTTTTGTCAGGATACAATTTTAAGAAGCTAAGAAATCACCTATTTTCTTATATAGAAACCGAGATTTACTCTCCCTCTCCACCTTCTAAACAGTGGGGATCACCAGTCTACCACAGGATCCCCTCTGGGTAGGGAAGAGTGGAGGAGGGAACACGCTCTAAGGCCACTGATCGCAGAATGGTTCTGAACACTAAGATGACTTCTGTCTGTATTTAAGGAATGACCTCTGAGCCCTGTCTCCAAGAAGGCCACGAGCATACAGGATACCATAACAGACATTGACTATAGGGTTATCCCATGCCAAACTCTCAGTGAAATTCATTTTGAGCCCTCTCAGCCTTCTACGTCTTATCCCAACCCCGTGGGGATTTTTTGCATAACTGTACTGAGTATGCAGGTAGAAAGAAATCTATCATTCATTTCACCACAGCTGGTAATTACAGACTCCAGGTCTGTAGACGGTAGGTCAAGTCAAGCTGAAATAAACTTTGCACAGAGTATTTCTTTTTTGCCTAAAGCCAATCTTTAACATATAAGCCTGTCACTTACATCAGGCCAAAAAAAAAAAAAAAAAAAAATAGAAAACAGTAGTATTAAGGATAGAATTTAGTTTCCAACCTTAATATACTTTCCTACATCTAGATAGTCACCCAAAACCTCACAGTTATTATCCATTGATCTAATAATTGAATAACTTTTGGGGGGAATAAAAAAGGTGGATTCATGGTCAGGAACCTATAAGAGTTTTCCCAGAGTTACTTTTTTAGCAAGGCTCTCAGAAGAAGGCAACAATTGGCAGCTTGTGTTTGTTAGGAGCCAAGCTTCCACTTGGGCTACAGGGAGACTCACAGAGTAACACAATAGCATGAGGATCCCAGCTTGTCTCACTTCCCTCAAGACTTACGCATTCTTTTTTCTCTCCCTCAACCTGCTTAGAGGATGTTTCTCCTTTTCTTACCTGTGTGCCCTAGGCCAGATTAGGAAACTATTTCCTTTGAAGTTTTCTGTACAAAGCCTTATCTGCAAAGTTTTTACAAACTAAGTAGGATAAAGGAAGTGGTTCGATGTAGGGATAACTATACCTGCCCCTCACCAGCCCATGACTCTCAATGGTTACCTGTTCTTTCTTCTTGGAATTTAGAGCTTAGTTGCCTCTAGGGTGGCAGGACTGGGTACCTTCTCTACCCTGAAAACAGGACTGAGGAAAGAAAGTGAAGGAACGTGGCCTTAACCTACCTCAAGCTCTCAGAGTTCCACAAAGCCTAGTGTGTTTTCTTTCCGAGACAAGCCCTAAGGCCTACCACACCTGGGTTTGCACACTGGCTGTCAGGTGAAGTTTGGGCAAGTCAGTTGGTCTCTTTAAGCTTCCGGTTCTTCTGCTTTAAAGTGGGGATGATAAAAATGAGACTTGTAAAAATTAAATAAATTAAACCTCAAAGGAATTAGTGTGCCACTGGCATAGAGCACGTACTCCATCAGTGATCTCTTTCCAACTTGTTTTCTTGGTTCTTAATTTTAAGCCAGAAGACTCTTTTTCAAATGGCTCTAGGAAGTCAGGATCAGACTTCCAAAGTGGAACCTGACCAGAGCCCCTCCATTTAATGCAAATTTCATTTAGTCTCGGAGATGAGATAAGTATAAAGTTGTATCTAATGTTGAGAATATATCTTCCTCACTAGCTTTGGAGAAAGGGCTACAAAGATGAAAAGAGAAGACACCCCAAAATGGACTCATGGTAATTAAATAAAGCACACAGAGCCCACTACATCATAGAAGAAAAAAACCTACAGATACGTGGCAAGACCAAAAAACAACAACAACAACAACAACAACAACAACAAAACAAAAGAATATTTCCATACCTTTTCTCTAATCCCAAGGAAACCTAAAGATACTTGATTAAGAAAGCCGTGGCCAAGAGTTCAAAGTGAAAGTCAGCCCTTTAGCTATTATTTATTGCTTTATTAGAGCAGAGGGAAGTGACACTCATTGCCTTTATAGAGCTCTGCAGAAATATATGCACAGAGTAGTCAATGACCAACATTTGAGTAAGTCTTCCAAATTATCACATTAAAATAACCTTTCGAATTTGAGTGCCTCTCCTTTGCAAACGACCGCAACTTCATAATGAAGAATTTTATATATTATCAAAAAGAACCAGAAGTCCATGTGCTCCTTTCCCCAAAATCCACTCACTAAGGACTTGAGTGAAAATCCACTCTAAGCAGATCACTGTTACTATTTCCCTTTCAAAACAGTTGGAAATCCTAAGGTACGGGTACTAAGAAGATAGCAATATCCTTCTTAAGCTGGTAAGAATCTAGCCCCACAGGGACAATTTGGCAATCCTGTTTCTGGAAGCCAGGACTCAGGAGATTTGTCTTCGTGATGGACGGAGACTCCTCCTGTCTTAAGGCAGGAGGGCTGTCAAGGCTCTGAATAGTGCCTTTCTGCTCATCGATGTCATCACAATGAAGGAGAGAACAGGCTTTCGTTTTCGCAAAGAGTGGTCAGTAGGAGCGCAGTGGTTTGGCATAGATGGGCTCCAGAACATGATGGATTAAAACCAAGAAGAGGCTTCCAAGGAAGATGGCGCTAAGAAAAGCCAGCAGGACATAGCGGCCAATGAAAAAGTCATCCACAATCTGGAGAAAGAAAACATCAAAATGAAATTACTACCAGTTAGGCACCCTGGCTGGGTTAATCTGAACTCTGTGATGAGTGGGCCAAGAGTTAGTTCATGAGTGTAACTTCCAGTAACATCCTGCCCTGAGTCTCCTCTGTACGTGGAGAAAAAAGAATCTTTTCCTCAACTCCCTGAGCAGAAGACACAGGTCAAGAAGGGATCAATGAGGTACAGGGAACAAATGGCTCAATTTAGGAGGTTGGTAGACACTTTGAAGTCCCTGGATGAATTATTTTATATTCTGAAATCCATTATCTGAAAGAGTTAATGAGAAGCTTTTGCTGGGTCCTAGAAAGGCACATTTTTGTTGTTGCTAAAACACATTTTATTACAGAGAATTTTAAACATACATAAAAATGCAATAGTATAATAAACTCCCATGTATCTAAGACCCAACCCCCAAAATCATCAATCCATTGCCATTTCAGGAGGGTTCATTTTCAAAATGAAAGGTGACTTAACTTTAAAGCTGTCAGCAGAAGAGTCCCTTGCCACAGGGCAGGGAAAATGGTAATTTACCTGAGATACTAAAACACTAAGAGGATAGGTAACTTGCCCCAAAGCAGACAATGGGCTGCCTGGCCTTACACTTGAGGCCCCAAAGATGTTGGTCTTTGCTGACAAAACCCTCTAATTGGTGTTGGCGCTACCCACTTGTTCACTGTCCCCTTCCAGAGCTCCACTCTCCCCAGATCCAAATGGTGGTGCTTAAATTTGGGCAGGAAAAAGCAATTTAATCTACAGACCTAATGGAGCAACACCACCAACCAAGTGGCTGACTGACTTCACAGGTTTGAAATCCCAGTACCTAGGAGAGAATCCAAAACACCTGAAAGGCAATTATAATGGCCCAAAGATATCCACATCCTAATCCCCAGAAATTGTGAATAAGTTAGATTATATGTTAAAGGAGAATTAAGATTGCCAATCAGTTGCCCTTAAAAAAGGTGGGAATAACCTGGATTATCCAATCCAGGTGGACCCAATGTAATCACAAGGATTCTTCTAAGTTGAATAGGGAGGTGGAAGAGAGGGTCAGAGCAAGAAAGGTGAGGATGGAAGCGTCAGTGAGGTGTGATGTCACTGGCTCTGAAGATAGAGCAAGGGGGCTGTCAGCCAAGGAATACGAGCAGCCTCTAGAAGCTGGAAAGGATAAGGAAGTGGATTATCCAATAGAACCTCCAGAAAGGAATGCTGCCCTGCCAACCCCTTGGTTTTAGCCCAATGAGACTGATTTTGGACTCTAACCTACAGAACTGTAAGATAATACATCTGTGTTGTGAGCCATTAGTTCACACGATTTGTTACAGCAGCGATAGAAAACTAACACAGCGGCCATACGCAAAGCACCTCTCAGACCCAAGCCCTGGTGGGATCACCGAGATCCAAAGACACCTCAGCTGCTCCAGAGATTACCCCAACAGTCAACTTACAACAAAGGTCAGTTTGATAAAACAGCTTTAACATAACTTTGACCTTGGCTCCGGTACTGAACAAGTCTCTTGCGGGCCACATGTTTGCTCGTTCGACACGTTTCACTTTTTAATTAGCCAATTAGCAGGCCCTGGGTGCAGAAGGCCCAGGCCATGTATTATTGATACCGCATTGAGCCAGGCTGCTGCAAAGGCCAGCTCTCAAAACCTGAAAATTAGAACTCCAATTCTGTCGGCCATGCTGACAAAAGTATTTTGCTCAAACCCCATTCTTGCCTCCTGGGTCTGAAACTCATATGACAGAGAATAGAGGGATTGATTTCAAAAATGTGTTTGCTCTGTGCCCTTCTCCCAATGTTTATATCTGCAGCATCCAGAAATGTGGCAGCCTATATCACTCTCCCCCTTAAAAGACAGGGAAAGCGACCGGATTCAGTGGCTCACGTCTATAATCCCAGCACTTTGGGAGGCTGAGGCTGAGTGATCTGAGGTCAGTTCGAGACCAGCCTGGCCAACATGGTGAAACCCTATCTCTACTAAAAATAAAAAAATTAGCTGGGTGTGGTGGCACATGCCTATAATCACAGCTACTCAGGAGGCTGAGGCAGGAGAATTGCTTGAGCCCAGGAGACGGAGGTTGCAGTGTGCTGAGATCGTGCCACTGCATTCCAGCCTGGCCGACAGAGCGAGACTTTCTCTCAAAAAAAAAAAAAAAAAAAAGATAAGTGAGGTGGGAATTTGCCCCGGCTCACACACGTGGTACCCAGACCTCCAGAGTATTTTCCAAATACTGACAACAAACTGGCATCAATGGAAATAATTCCTTAATTGCGTGTGGTAAGTACTATTTCCCTTGGAGTTTAATTTCCTTCCTCTTGCCATAGTTAATCCTAGAGTGTCAATTTTAGTTCAAAAGTTACACGTATATTCTTGTATACTGTTGTTGTCTAGTGTCAAAATGCTAACCCATGAGCTCTCTGGGACTGCCCTGGATATTCTGTTAAGTTCTCAACGATGAAGATTTTGAAGACGGACCTCAGCTTGAATCCTTGTTCTGCCTCTTGCTATGTGGCCTTGGGCAAGTTACCTTAACCTCTGACAGACTCAGTGTTCTTACCTACAAAATGGGGATAATAATGGTACCTATGTCATACTACTTAGGGCTGTCCTGAGGTTTAAATGAGACAATGCAAACAAAGTGTTTGGCACAGGACCTGGCACACAGAAATCCCTTAAAGAATTTTAGCTATTTTCATGCCTATCACTTAGAACATCAAAATGAAGGTTAAGAGGAAAGCTGTGAGAAGGAGTAATGGGACAGAAGAGGTCAATGCCATTGTCAGGATCCCATGGGTCTGAGACCAGCCAGGCATGGCAATGCCATGGTAAAGAACTCCAGAGAAGGACTCTGAGAGAGATGATAAAAATCCATTTAAAGACATGGGTGCTGGCAGGTATGGTCCCAGGCATGAGGACCAAAGAACTCCCAGAAGACTGTTGGGAAAATTCTAGCACATGCAGTTGGAGAAGCATGTCCTCAGCACCCTCAGGGCACCACATCAGTTTCAGTCCAGGATCTGCGGTTAGGAGCCCAGGCTGCCAGGAATGGGAACACTTCCATCTCGGGTGCAGGCCTGTGACTATCCTTATTTCATTTTCTTTTTTTTTCTGTCCGCATGGTACGATGTGGCTTTCCAACAGGCTGTTTTCAACTTGATGCAAACTGGAGATGAGACCAAATCAGGCAAATAACTGCCTGGTGGGGTTGGAGGTGGAATTTAGAGTAAGATTATTTTCCTGAGTGAAGGGGCAGGGAAACTTAAAACTCTCTCTGAACGTTCCCTACCACTGGTTGAACTTTACAATTCTGACATCTTGGGAAACCCGGTGTCAGAGAACATCGAGGGCAGGATGGACATACAGATGAAGAGAAACAAGAGTTACAGCTCAGGAGGCAAAACAAAACCAACAGCTTTACCTTAACTTCCACCTCCGGGGCTGGGAATTCACCAGCTCGTGGGAAAAGCAACAGAACTGATGTGATGATCACAGCACCGAGGAATAAAAAAATGACAGAGAACCTGGGGTCAAAAAGACATATATTAAAAGCACTGTTTACAGTTTTTTCTCTGATCAGTTAGGTCTGGAAAGACTCTTCCTTGGAGCCAATATTCTATGTTTCAGTCCCTTAACAATGTCCAGAGACCTGCTGTCAACAACCTCTTCATCCCAAAGTCCTTCTTCCTAGACAGGTACCAGCTAGGTGCATTCCCGTTTATTCTTGGTAATTCCCAATTCCTAGGAACGGAAATGTGTAGTTTTTATGTTTACTTCTGCCCAAAGTCATAATTGAGAAAAACCAAAGCATCCCCTCTCCACCTCCACTTCTGTTGTTTTTAGAACAGAATACTTTAGAAAATTCTACAACTCTCTGCTTCATACTAACACTATCTTGGTGCAACTCTACAGTTTTTTCAGAGTCGGTTTATGGCCTAACCCTGTTGTGAAGGCAACGCGTGATATAGAAAGCAGGCCCAACTCATCACATGTTGCTTTAGTTTTCCTGGGTCCGGGGCTAGAGCCTTGGGGACTGGACCGAGCCTCTGCCATAAATCTGAACAATTCATAAACACACACCCGTACGACCTCCAGAAATTCAATCAGCAGTGAAAGCAGAATTTCCTGCCACAGTTAGAACTCAAGCACACCACTTCCTTCTCCCATCTCGGCTTCCGAGCATAAATAACACAGTTCGTGCTTATAAAAAGAGGTTAAAATGCAACTCATTCAAACTGCCAGTAATTACAAAACTGATCTCTTAAATTCTAAATGTTTAATGAGCATCGGCGATTTTGCCTCTAATTGCTTTACCTGGGACTCCCAGCTGGAAAGAATGCCTTACCTCGCCGCCCCGGAGGCCCTGGACAGCAGCACACACAGCAGCAGCACTGACACCCACAGCAGGGCTAAGATGAACACGCCCGCACCGACTCCGAGCACAGTGCCAGCCATCCCGCGGGGAGGCAGCGGCGGCCCCCGCCCTGCGCGCCGCACGAGCAAGTGTCCTCTGTGCTCCAGCGCCGCCTTCCTGCCACACACTCCCATGAAGGCATTCAGACAAATACAGAAAGCCTAAACTCAGTACAGGGAATTTTCTGATGATCAGTGTGTTAGGAGGATTACTCAGTACAGGTCATTAATTTTCAGAAATGTCCAGGCCCAGAGTCCCTTAATGGAAACTGGAAATGTAGAAGCCAAAGCCTTTCTCTTTGGCGGGGACCGAGAGGCGTGTTTTCTACTCTGCACTCAGAAGGTCTTTCTGAGGGTTTCCCTTCAAATTCGGTACCTGAGTTCTACTTTGACCTCTTCCCCCAGCCCACGGGAGAAAACGGAACCCTCTCTTGATACAAAACCCTAAGAACTATTAGAAGACACCGGGGCATGGGAAGGAACTCCAGGGCCAAAGCAGAAGTTGAAGCTCTCAGGTTAAATCCATGGTGTGAGCTTTGACTCACCAGGCAATCGATCACAAGACAAAGTTCTCAGTCTATTGTCGAGTTCTTATTCAAGAGGACGAAAACTCTCAGTCCTTAAAGAAGAGGAACGGCCATCACTATTTTTGAACATTTATGTGTGCTAAGTGCCATGCAAACATATCTCATTCAATCCCAGCGTGAAGCTTCTGAGAAAGGTATGACTATAGCCATGTTACAGATGGGTGAAATATAAGCGCGATGGGGTACCTATTAGTTTCCTAATTAGCGGCTCAAAATAGAAATTTGTTTTCTCACAGTTCTAGAGGCCAGCAATCCAAAATAAAGGTGTCAGCAGGGCTGTACTCCCTCCAAAGGCTCTAGGGCAGGGGTCCCCAACCCCTGGGCCATGGACTGGCACTGGTCCATGGCCTTTTAGGAACTGGGCTGCACAGCAGGAGGTGAGCAGCAGGCAAGCCAGCATTACTGCCTAAGCTTCGCCTCCTGTCATATCAGTGGCGGGATTAGGTTCTCATAGGAGGACGAACCCTATTGTGAACTTCATGTGCGAAGCATCTAGGTTGCAGGTTCCTCAGGAGAATCTAATGCCTGAAGATCTGAGGTGGAACGGTTTCATCCTGAAACCATCGCCCTGCATCCGCCTGTGGAAAAACTGTCTTCCATGGAACCAGTCCCTGGTGCCAAAAAGATTGGGGATGGCTGCTCTAGGGGAGATTCCTTCCCTGCCTCTTCCAACTGCTGGTAGCTCCAGGCACCATTCATTGGCTTTTAACTCACAACACCAGTCTCTGCCTCCATCTTCCCATGGCATTCTGCTGTGTCTGTCTTCACCTTTTCTGTCTCCTGTAAGGGTACTTGTCATTGGATTTAGGGTCTGTACAAATAATCTAGTATTATCTTGAGATGCTTAACTTAATTAAATCTGCAAAGACCCTTTTGTCAAACGAGGTCACAGTCACAGATTCCAGGGGTGAGGATGTAGACATATATTTTTGGGGAGCACCATTCGACTCACAGCAGAGGAACAGCACACCGCACTGCCTCCCCTGGATTTCCTTTTCAGCATCGGAGACAAGTCTTAAGCAAACACACTCCTCGAGGTTGCTGGTTTTCTTTACCCTCATGGCTTAAATACCACGAAAACATTAGCTATGAGAAGTTATAAAGTTATGGGAAAGGAGGGTCTAAGTATGAACTGCTTAAAAAATACATTTATTGAATCAACATTTATGATGTGCCTGCCATGTAAAGCACTGCGCTATAAGCTGGGGATGCCAAAGGTGAATAAGGTATCTTCTGACAGAAGCTCAAGGTCTATTGGAGAACACTGTCCTGAAAACAAGTGTCCATATGACATTCTGAGTGATGGTAAAAGCGAAGTGCAGTGGGAACGGCAATAGCGAGAGGGGCTTTACAAAGGAAGTACTCCGCACAGGCACGTTTAAGAAAGAATCAGAGTGAGGGGAGATGGGACCTGGGGCCCACCTGCATGCCTAACTTCTCTGGGGAGCAGTCTGCCCCCATTAGGGCCACATGGGCACCATCTCAGTCACTCTAACACGCCCAGGGTTTCCCCATCTCTGGGTCTTTGTACTTGCTGTTTCCAATGCCTGGAACTAACTCTCAACCCGAAGCACGCCTGCTACTATTTGTAGGACTGGCTTTCCTCAGCCTTCTGATTTCTGCTTAAATGTCACTCCTCAGTGAGGTGTTCCCTGAGTGTCTTCTCTAAAGTAACCCTCAAACACTGACTCTCCATCACTCTATTTCCTTCAGAGCACTTTTCACAGAACTAGTTAATATTTTCATTTATTTGTTTACAAGTTTATTTTCTGTCTCTCCAACTAGAATAGTAAACTCCACGAAGGCAGAGACCTGGTATCTTTCTCACTGTGGTAACCCCAGTTCTTAGCACAGAGATTATACATGACAAGTATCTGTGGGAGGAATAAATGACACAGTGCTAACAAGTCCACAAACATCAGGTGAGGGAGTGAAAGGATCATACGGAGTTTTAGAAAGATGACTGTAACCTCTGGTCAATATGCTGGACGGAAGTTAACAAGGGAAGTGCCTCATACAACAGCAAACACATAAATGTTCAATAAAATGGAACAAGAAGAATTTAGTACACAGCAGAGCTCGAAAACAATAAAGAAAAATCATTAAGTGCTATAAAAAAAATGTAACTCAAGGCCTGAGCTGAGCCTAAAAGTCTATGGGGGTGCTGTTGCCTGATACAGACCTTCAGGGTGATTCTCTTCAAGGCAGATAAGGTCTCAAGCCCACGATGGCAAAGAACTAGCAATGGGAACAAGGCAGAAAGCTGGGCCCTCACAGGGCTGACCAGTTCTTGAAATAGGGTCTAAACAATTTGCTACTGACTTAGCTGGAAGAAAGCTGGCTGAGTGCTTCAGGCCACAGGTCAAAAAACAACAGCCCAAGAGAAATCTGATTCCCCACCCCACATCATATCCATGTGTGAGATTCAATACTACCAGTGTGATACGGGAATCCCAAATAGAAAGATTAACATGAAAACTAGACTAAAAGTGAGAACCCACTGGATCCCAGCAGAGACAAAACTAAACCCACAGGCTGGCATGCAAGACTCCCTCAAGAGTAAGTGTAAAATAAAGATGTTTTCAGACATACAAAGGGTGAAATGTAGTTCATCTCTCATGGATCCTCAGTGGAAGAGCTACTCAGAGACATATTTCAGCAAGAAGGAAAATGAACCAAGAAAGGAGGTATGAGATGTAGGAAGATTGGTGAGAAAAATACTAAGAAATACTGACAGTAAAGATTTCTGTAATGATGACAATTTTTGAGGAGTTAAAAATCAGAAAGACCTAAATATTACTCAACAGTTATATGGTAGATGGAAAAAGATAGTTCAAAGTTAAAGCATTCTACAGTTATTTTGTTTTGGAGGAGGTATTTGTTTTTTAAGCTAAGTACACAAGTTTAAAAAAAAATAGGTAAACAGCAAGCAACAGAAATAGAAAATATAGCTTCTATACTAGTAAAGTGAAAAAAAAGTAAAGAAAACAGAAAGTGGGACACGGGTCAGTGGTAGTGAGGTGGGTGGCAGAACAAAGAATAAGCAAGGAAAATGGAAAATACAAAATAAGATTGTAAAAATGAACCCAAATACAGCAGTAATCGTAGTACAAGGAAACATTATATTTGGCTACTAAAAGAAATTCTCTTAGATTTTTCTTTTTAAAAATAGCTGTGTACAAAAGTTCTACAGAAAGTATAATGAGAGGCTGAAAATAAAGAGATTGAGAAAGACATGCAAAGCAAATATTAACAAGACAAAAACCAGGGAAGGAGGGAATAGGGAGATCGTCAATGAGTATAGAGTTTCAGTTTTGCAAGATGAAAACGTTCTGGAGCTCTGTTTCACAACACCGTGAATATACTTAACACTGCTGATCTGCACTCTTAAAAATGGTTAAGACAGGAAATTTTATGTTTTTTTGTTTTTGTTTTTGTTTTAAGCCACAGTTGAAAAAAAAAACAAGCGAAACAAAATAAAAGCTACTGAAGTAATATTAGTACCAAGCAAAATAGATGTAAAGCTCTGAAAAATATTAATAAGAACAGTCACAAAAGGAACAATTCAGTAAAAAGATACAACTTGAAACAAATGTGAACCTAACAACAAAACCTCCAAATACATAAAGCCAAAACTGACAGAAGTACTATAATAAATGGATAAAACCACTAATTTAGTGAGAGATTTTAAATATGTCTCAGAAACTGATAGATCAAGCAGATAAAAAAGAATAAACACTTGAGAAAGAGGATACCTGAATGAGAATAAATATGTAAAAAGGTGCTCAACTTCATTAGTCATCCAGAAATTGCAAATGAAAACCAAATTCAGTAGCTTCATATACCCACCAGAATGGCTAACATGAAATGACAGACAACACCAAGTGTTGCCAAAGATGTGGAGTAACTGGAACCTTCAAATACGGCTGGCAAGGGCCGTAATTTGTTAACCACTGCTTTGGAGACTATTGGAAGTATCTAATAAAGCTAAATATAAATGCACCCTACATCCAGCTCTTCTATTCTTAGATGTATTCCCAACAGAAATGCACACCTAAGTTCAAAACAAAGATTGCAGCCCTACCTGAAATAGCTAAAACATTAAACAATCCAAATATCTACCAATAGAGTGGATATAGTACTCTACAATCTATTCATTCATACAATATATAAAGCATTATGTAGTATAAAGCAATGAGAATAGTATAAAGCAATGAGAAAGAACACACTACAACTATACTCAACAATGTGGATGAATTTCACAAATATTGAATGAAAAAAAGCTAGAGGCTAAAGAGTTCATAGTATATGATTCCATTTATATAATGTTCAAAAACAGGTCAAACTAATTTTAGGCGCTAGAGGTCAGGGGTATGGTTGGCTTGTGAAACATAGTGACTGTAGGGGGTTCAGTGAGATGCTGATAAAATTCTGTTTCTTGATATGGGTTTTGGTCACCTGGCTTTATTCATATGGTGATGTTTTATCTAACCATGCACTTAGGATTTATATACTTTTCTGTATGTGTATTACCCTTCACTAAAATGTTTACTTTACAGAAAGAATATCAAGAGATGTGTCAGCCAAGTGTAGTATATGGACCCTTATTTGGTCCTGATTCAAACAAAGCATTGCAAAAACCTTCTATGAAATGATTGGGGAAATCTGAAGAATAGCCAGATAATTGATAGTATTAGGAAATTACTGTTTGTATTTTCAGTGAAAAAACATTATTGAAAAATATGCTATTATTATGTTGTTAAAAGAGTATGATAAAGATATATGCATACACACATGTAGCACATTACAGATAACAGAAAAGGGTTTCTAGGAGCTTTCTATTATCTGAGTGAGAGGAGGTGAAGTAGCTGACATGAAACAAGACTGGTCATGAGCTAGTTGTTGAAGCTGGGTGATGAGTATGTAGATGTTTGCTATCCTGGAATTTTCTATACATCTGAATATATTTGAAACTTTCATAACAAAAAGATGTGGATATGTATATCTGTATAAATATGACTATAACAAAAGATGAGTAAGATTTGTATAGCTAAAATTATAAAACTTTATTCAAAGACAAAAAAAAAAAAAAAAAGAGAGAGAGAGACCTGATTAGAGAAATAAAGCAGACCTGAACAGTAAAGACCTGGGTAGAGAAATAAAGCAGACCTGAACAGAGAAATAACCTGTGTTCCTGGATGGGATGGTTCAATTAAAAAATCTCAATTTTCCTTAACCTATAAATTCAATGCAATTCTAACCAACGTCTAAAAACAATTTTTTGTGGAACTTGAAAACAGATCCTAAATTCATATGGAAGAGCAAAAACCCAAGAATAGCCAAAACAATTTTGAGAACTAGGATGGCAACTTGCCTTTCTTGTTACCAACTGCCGCAAGACACATTAAAAAACCAAAGTAATTAAAACAGTGTGATAGTGGCACAAAGACACATGGCCCAGTGGTATAAAATCAAGAACCCAGAAACAGATTCGTGCATTTGTGAGAACTTCCTATAAGCACAGAGCTGGCTTTATGATTCAGTGGGTAAAGAACTTCATAGATAGTGCTGGGACAAATGATTCTCCAATAGGAAAATAATAAAACTAGATCTCTGTATGATATACAGAAGTCGATTTTAAATGGAAAGTAATTCGTAATGAAATAGCATATGTTTAAATATACAAATGTTCAGGCTGACTACACTAGAATACGTAATGAAGTACAGTAGTCAGATGCTTGCACCTAAACTTAGAATCACCACGAACGCAAAAGCTTCAAATGCAGACTATGCAGGTGTGTTGTTCTGGCAACTCAAATACCACGAGCTGTGCTGCCTTCAGTTATGTGATTTGCTAGAGTGATGAACAACTCTTGTTAAAGTTCCAAACCACAAATAAGTATAATTTTCCTCTGATTTACATTAGAGCTGCATTCCTGGAAATTTTACTATATTACACTGTGCCAAAAAATACATTATGTTTATACAAAAACTGGAGTTAGGCTCTAGACTCAGATAATTATAAATGAGTATCTTGTGGGATACTCAAAAGTTGCACAGGATACAGGACAATTCTTCGTTGTGAGGACTGTCCCATACATTACAGAACATCCAGTATCCCTCATTCCTGATCTGTAAACCCCAGTAGTGCCTCCAATCAAAGAGTAACAAAATACATCTTCACAAATTCCAAAACATCCTAAAACGGGCAGCAACATCTCTTTGGGGAACCACTGTTCTAGAAAGTTCTTGCATAAAGAGAGATGTACAAGGTGTTTATTGCAGCTTTGTTTACAATAGCAAAACATCAGGAAAAAATTTAAATGTCTATCAATCAGGGAACAGATACAATATTATATATTCATAATGAATATTTAAAACGAAATTGATCTGTATGTATTGATGTGAATATATCAAAAAAACAATGTTGAGTGACAAAAACAAGTTGCAAAATGGAACCCACAGTACGATACTACTTGTATTTTTTAAATTAAATACAATTTAAACAGTAATATGTATTGTTTCTGACGTACATATATACAGCAAAAGTAGAAAAACATGGGCATAAATGATGTATGACAATTTCAAAAGACTGTTTGCCTCTGGAGAGGGAGGAAGGAAAGGGAATGGTGTTGGGAGTGGAAATAAAAGGGATCTGAACTAACTGTGTGATGTTTTATCTCTTTAAAATAAAAAACTTGAACAGGTGTGCCAAAATGTTAATATTTATTAATCTGATTGGTGAAACATAGATATTATACTACCCAATGTACTATTTTCTGTTTTTAAATTTTTTGTGATAATTTTTAATTTTTAAAAAGGTAATGGGCAGCAGAATGCATGTGAATTGGGTGATCAGTTAGGAAACGCAATTCTCCAGATAAGAGAAGAGGGTCTGAACTCCAATCTTAGCTGTGTCAAGGGAGAAGGTGTTAGAAATGACACAAGTTTCTAGCTTAGTTGTCTGACCTGACGGTACTGCCCTTAAGAAAACAACTATTTAATTTAATTTGTGCTATTCTGGATATTACACAAATAACCTAGAAGACTTGGATCAACTCTAACAGTTAGAATAGAGGGCAAATGGTAGTTGAAGCTGGCTGGCACCATTAGAAATGTTGCCCTTCAATCCCCCTTAGTAGCTTAAGAGTTCATGAGACATTGGTTTACATATGGTATGGCTTTAAAGTAAATAAGATAAATATTCCCAAGCTCTTTTAAGAATGGAGCTCATAATTTTATAAGCAAACTATACATTTTCTTACAAAGCATAGAAAAGAAGAGTTGGGTATGGTATAGAGTGCTGCTATAGGGGAAGAGAGAACATCTAGTCATTTTTATCTTATTTCAATGTGATAATATCTGTGATAATTTCCCATATTAGAATGGCTAAATTATTGTTATTGAGTACAATACAATAAAATATTAAAACGGAAGTGTTTTTATTTACTGTTCACGCCATCAGTAAACCTTCTTTGAGAAGTGATGGCTTGGCCAACCTGATTTCAAGGGTAAGTCCATTTACTTAATATCTGTGGCATTTAAAGCAGGTAGATTGGAGTGGAAAAAAATAATTTAAATTTGAACCGTTCACCAGCTGACAAGAGCAACTACAAGGTCAATGTTTTCCTTCTGTGCTCAATGCTGTGAGGTTTTTCTCTGGAAAGAGTTTGTTCAAAACCTTTTAGATGTGTGTGTTCATTTAATGATTGTTTCTACATACCCTTTCATCCAGCTGTCAGAGAAAATAGGAATAAATTGACTGATCCCTGCACAGGTAACCTAATGGATTAAAAACACAGTACCCATCACCAGGCTGATCATCATGAGTGAGAATACTAACGGCCACTATAAGATGACTTACTACCTAAGACAAATGTGGATTCCTCAGAGGGTAATGTGGCCTAAGTGCTGCTGCTGGTGGGAGATATCTCACCCATCCCCCGATTTTCACACTGACTCAAGCCCTTGAAAGCAACAGAAAACAGTGGGTTACAGGAGTGAAGTGCTCTTCTGGAACAGTTCTTTCCACTTTGCTTTATAGCTGTTTTCCAACCCTTCAAAAATAACTGAGCGGTTACTTTCACACTTTTATGTTTCTACTTTAAACACTTCACTATCTTTTGAATTTTAATATATTAGAATAACGCCTCTACCTTTGTAATGAGATAAAATGCAAGTCTGGGAAAAAAATCAGTTGCCAAGCTCCCAAAATGCCACCGATGTAGCATCTGCTCTTAACACGTTGATAGAAAAGGAGGCTCAGTAAACCTAGGTCTCGTCCTTGCCTCTCTCTCCTGGACGGTGTTGTGGGTTGGAACGGCTGCAGAGCCTCGGTCTCTCCGCTCTCTGCATCTCACAGCACTGCAGCCTGGGAACACTCTACTGGAACTCTAAGCTTCTCCCCAACTCTGTTGCAGATTCAAACTGGCGACAGGAAAACGATACCCCCCATGTCTCGTCTTCAGAATGTTCACCTGGCCACCTCCCAGTAGCTGGAGAGGGATTAAGGTCTTGATCATAAGAGATCTGAATCAGGCACTGACACTTCCTTTTCTTAAGAGTATGAAACACAAAACAGCCCTTCCTTCTCTGCCTCACATTAAGTATTTATTAGCCGGGCCTTGGGGCCAGATCAGCGGTAAGGGCGGTCTGCGAGGTCCGTGCACCGCCGTCCGCCCACGCCTTCTTCCAACCACCTCAGCCCGACCCGCCACTTTTCTCCCTTCTCCGCAGCCGCCCTGCTTTCCTCACCTCTGCCCGCCTCACCTGGATCCCACTGTCCACCCTGGCAGTACTCACACCTCAGATTCCGGCCGGTTCCAGCCCACCGGGCTCCTGTTTACTTAGGGCGAATCACAAGTGGGCTTTCATTCAGGTGATTTAACATTCACTAATCAGCGTCGCTCTCTCAACGCCCAACTTCTTCCTTATTAGCTTACGCCTAGCGCGGCTCCCGGCAACGCCATGCGCGATGGGTTGGCTCGTCACCCTTTGTTACGCCCTCCGATTGGTCGGTGCCTGTCGGCCCTTGGACCGACCTCAGTTCGGTTGGGTAGCAGCGGTCCGAGCTGCACGCCACACCCCCCCATGTCAATCACATCATCTCTCCGTAACTCGTTGGGCCATTGGTCAGTCTAGCCCGAGGGCGGGTTGTTGGGCGGAAGAGAGAGGTTTCTTCCGGCCTCACTCGCTGTCACCATAGAGATTGCGCATCCAGGCAGCGAAGCGGCGGGGCTGGGCAGCTCAGATCTCGAACTCCGGAGAGCTGCACAGTCGTCTAGACATAAGTGCGTTTTCTGGGGTCTGATGAACATCTCACTGCCCAACCCACTGGTTCGAGTGGGGCGCAAGATGTGGGGGACAAGTCAGCTTAGGCCCGGTCATTAGGTGCCCCAACAACCCTCCTGGAGGAAACTGAGGACGAAGCACCAGTTATAATAACGACACGCTTCATTTATCTTTATCTCGCCTTATTTTATTTGGCATTTAATACTTCCATTAGCCTTGCGAAGCAGACTAAGGCAAGGATCATTCTACCCACGGGACAGACTGGGGAAGCGGCCCTGGGTCCATCAAGTAAACCCTCTGCTGCCAGGCTGCTGGAACTGGAGTTGGCCCACGCTATTGGCAGACTGCTGTTACCTTACTGCCAACTAAAGCTTGCCATGACTTTGCTTTGAGGCTATGGCCTGTTAGACCAAAAGATGCATCAATCAGGACAACCAAAGGAAGTAGGACAGACAGGCTATGTGCTCCACCACTGAATCAAGAAGGGAAGACAAAAATCAATACCAAATTGGAGAGTTGCACCGTTTGAACCTTTGACCCTAAACAAAATTCAGAAATACCATGAAGCAAACTATTCAATCTTAGAGCACTGCATCTCTGATTGAAGGAATTCTCCTGAATCACAGCTTTATGAACCAAAAAGAAGATGCTTGAATTTCATCAACTGTACGTCTCAAATTTATTCTACTTTCAAGGCTTCATTTGCAGTCATATAACGTAACCAATGATTTCTTGTGTGTTTAGCAACTTAACATTACTTGGCCCAGTGAAAAGCTCTGTGGCTAAGAAATCCATTATTTTGATGAATTCATTTCACTGGAATTGAGTGTTGACTGCAGCTATGTTCTGTCAGGAACTGTGAAGATATACCAGAAATGAGATGTGACTCCTGTCTTAATAGCCTGTGGTTTTGTAATGTTAGGTCAACAACACATGAAACAACTAGGAAACACTTTAAAACAAGATATAACAATGGGCCAACCCTATTGTACAATTAATTTCTCCAAAATACAATAGTACTTCATATTTGCAGATCATTTTGTAGTTTCCAGAGCACTTCTTCCCTTGTATTATTTGGGGGATATTTTGTTATGGCTGGAATTAGCGTGTATGTCTTTATCATAGAGTTAGAACTAATGCTGGGTTGTAGCATATGAGTAGGAACAGGAAAGGTGGAACAGAATCCGGGGAGAGAAAGTAGTTTGAGCAAAGAGGCCAAGGCAAGAATGAGCACTGAGTATCTGGAGAATAATATGGAGACAAATGATGGAAAGTAATGTGTAGACTAGTTGGTCAGAACTGACTCTGAGACCTTAATATTTTGGAGGAAAGTGGTCAAAAGTTCAAAGTTTGAGATTGGAAAAGTTAACTTTCTTACACTTCTAATGTTCATACTGGCTTCAGTTAAGCTATAAATTAAAAATGGGCTTGGCTCAACAGAACTTGAGTCCTGTCATATGGCTTTTCTCCTTAGGTAGCATGAGCTTCACCATTTGCTTTACCACCTCCACCAACTACCAGTCCCTGCACTCCATCCAGCCACACAGCCATATTGTCTGGTCCATCAGCAGTGCAGCCAAAGTCTATGCAGGCCTCAGGGGCTTGGGCTCCCGAACCTCAGTGTCCTTCTCCATAAGCTTCTGGGGTGGCTGGGGGTCTGGAGGCCTGGCTGCAGGGATGGCCAGGGGTCTGGAAGGAATGGGGGACATCCAAAATGAGAAGGATACCATGCAAGGCCTGAATGACTGCCTGGCCTTCCTACCTGGACAGAGTGAGGACTCTGGTGACTAAAAGTCAGAGGCTGGTGAGCACAATCTGAGAGTACTTGGAGAAGAAGAGACCCCAGGTCAGAGTCTGGGGGCATTACTACATGACAATCAAGGACTTGAGGGCTCATATCTTTGAAATTCTGTGGACAATGCTTGTGTTGTTCTGCAGATTGACAATGCCTGTCTTGCTGCTGATGACTTTAGAGTCAAGTATAAGACAGAGCTGGCCATGTGCCAGTCTGTGGAGAGCAACGTCCATGGGCTCCACAAGGTCATTGATGACACCAATGTCAGTCGGCTACTGCTGGAGACAGAGATGGAAGCTCTCATGGAGGAGCTACTCTTCATGAAAAAGAACCAAGAGAAGGAAGTAAAAGGTCTACAAGCCCTGATTGCCAGCTCTGGGTTGACCACGGAGGTAAATGCCCCCCAATCTCAGGACCTCAGCAAGATCATGCAGACCTCCTGGCCCAGTATGATGAGCTGGCTCAGAAGAACTGAGAAGAGCTGGACAAGTACTGGTCCCAGAAGACTGAGGAGCACACCACAGTGGTCACCACGCAGTCCACCAAAATAGGAGCTGCTGAGATGACATTCATGGAGCTGAGCTGTATAGTTCAGTCCTTAGAGATAAACCTAGACTCAACGAGAAATCTGAAGGCCAGCTTGGAGAACAGCCTGAGGGAGGTGGAGGCCTACTATGCCATGCATGTGGAGCAGCTTAGTGGGGCCCTGCTGCACCTGGATTCAGAGCTGGCACAGGCCCAGGCAGAGGGGCAATGCCAGGCCCAGAAGTATGAGGCCCTGCTGAACATCAAGGTCAAGCTGGAGGCTGAGATTGCCACCTACTGCTGCCTGCTGGAAGATGGGGAGGACTTCAGTTGTAGTGATGCCCTGGACATAGCAGCAACTCTATGCAAACCATCCAAAAGACTGTCCAGGATAGTGGATAGCAAAGTGGTGTCTGAGACTAAAAACACCAAAGTTCTGAGGCACTGAGCCAGCAGAAGCAGGGTACCCTTTGGGGAGCAGGAAGCCAAGAAAAAGTTCAGAAGTTGTTGGATGACAAAAATAAATAAATAAATAAAAGAATGGACATGAATGAGGAGATACTCCAAAGTGTTTTACATCTTTCTGAATGGATATAACATTATTAGGTTTTCTCTCTCTTAAGAGGGGACCCGCCTCCCAAGTACTTCCCAGTTGCACCCCTTAACTAGGAGAGGGGTGTTATTAATAGTTTTCTAATTAAATGATATCATACCCTCTCAATGAGATTGAAAGAAGTGCTGTCATCTTAGTGCTTCATCTTTGCTATCTCAGAATCAAAACTGTGTCCCTCACTCTAAAAAAGACTGGTTATTTGATTATCTAATTTTTCTCTTTTAAAAAATTGTCTTCCCTGGATGGGCATGGTGGCTCGTGCCTGTAATTGCAGCACTTTGGGAGGCCGAGGCGGGTGGATCACCAGAGGTCAGGAGTTTGAGAGTAGCCTGGCCAACATGGTGAAACCCCATCTCTACTAAAAATACAAAAATTAGCCGGGCGTGGTGGTGCACACCTGTATTGCTAGCTACTGGGGAGGCCAAGGCAGGAGAATCTCTTGAACCCAAGAAGCGGAGGTTGCAGTGAGCCAAGATGGTGCCACTGCACTCTAGCCTGGGCAACAGAGTGAGACTCCATCTCAAAAAAAAAAAAGTCTTCCCCATGCCATGTTATACAGCACCACTACACATTGCTCCACATCTCTACTGTGTATGTATTCTTCATACTATACTTGTAGAATGCCCATAGGTGGCATATATGAATGCAAGCCATGTTCTTAACTTATTTTGTTCTCTCCTAAACAAAAATATCAAAGCAATAATGACAAAAGCCAGTGTTTCATTTCCTCCTCAAATGTGTACAATCACTCGTTATGCTGCCTAGCAGAGGGTAAGAGTACAAAGAGGCCACTAGCGTTAGCAAGGGCATGGAATGATTTCAAGAGAAGATGTAAAGTTTTCTTGCTCATTTTATAGGTATCAAAACTTTTTCTGCCAGTGAGCCCTGAATTTTTTGTACACAATTTCTTGTGTGATTACGTTAGCATTTCTACAGGTCTGAAAATGTAGCAAAAACTAAAGTAATTGTTGGTTATTGGCTGAGGCTCAAAAACTACTAATTTTGCTAATTGAGAAACCAAGTAAACAAAAATATCCTCAATGGCTATTGTAAGTAGTTGAAGGCAAATTACTGACCTTCCAAGGCCACCCAGAATTACCACCTTGATTTTCAGGATCACAGTATTCATCTGATGTTATAGATCAAGGGTTGGGAAACTATATGGCCTGTGGGCTTACTCTTAGCTTGTACAACCTGCAAGCTAAGAATGATATCTACATTTTTAAATGCTTGAAAAAAAACAAAAGAAGAAAAGCGCTTTGTGATATATGAAAATGATATCAAATTTAAATTTTGATTTCCATAAGTAAAATTGGACTGGAACCCAGGCATACTCATTTGTTTATGTGTTGTTTATGTCTCCTTTTGCTTTATAACAGCAGAATTGAGTAGTTACCACAAAGACTATATGGCCCATAGCCTAAAATATTCACTATTAGGCCCTTTAAGTAAAGGTTTTAATTCTTACTACCTTAGAGATTCTTAATGAATCATGTCTGATAAACTGTTGGA